CAATGACCTGGCTATGCTACACTGATACTAGGGTAGATTAAAGAGACCACTGATGACTCACTCTTGTTACGCTGTTGTTCAAATTCGAGTACGCACAACGTAGTTGCTGACCCACACAGTTTTGGTGAACTAAAGTACAAATTACTGGATAGCCAGTTGAATGAAACGGGTGGCGGGTCTGTGCATGCGCAGTAGGGTGTGTGAGCAGAAGGTCACGCTGTGAGGAGGAAGTGCGGTGTGTGCGGCGGTGGGCTTGAGTCGACACGACGCACTACAAGGTACACTTTAAAGGAAAATGACTCGAAAGCCGACGCAATTCTTTGGTAAAATTAAAGTAGGCGATGTTATCCAAAGAACTTTGAAATCGAGCAGAGTACCCGTAGTGATTCGCTACGGTCATGCTTACTGAATATTCTTTTTGTCTGTGGTCTTCATTTCATGAAAACTGTCAGGTTTTAAATTGTCCTTTTTAAGAAATTTAATCAGTTTTAGAAAATATCCCCCTCCGTCCGGAGTAATAGATGACAAATTAAAATTGCAGACATTAAGATTCCTAAATTTTTGCTGAGCACTTTGGTTCCATGGCTCCTAACACCTTGTTATTAGATTAGTCCTTCTACAAAGTTGCAGATTTAGCAAAAAGTCTGCAGCCAGGCTTCACTTTGCAAGGTCCAGTTTTGATTCCACACATCGCCGACTAAACATGGCTTATTAAAACAATCGTAAGTTTGTTACCGTTGATTAATTGTGGCTAAAAATGCGATATTCCGGAAAACTTGGCATTTAAAAGAATAATTCCTCGTACTTCACCATTCTGTGTGTGCTAGCATTAGTCAGGCATGGGCGACGGGGCTTGTGCTCCCTTGTGTTTTTAATTTGACACCATAAAGTAATAACTTTTGTCTTGTATTAAAGTGAAACTCATCTGAATTGTTTTTTTTTATAAATGCACACTGAGGCCTAGAGTCAGGGCCTTTGCTCCCTGTATGCGTATCGAGGCGAAATAAACTTAGGATGGCAGGAGAATTTCAGTGGAAATGAATGTGCTGATAAAAAATCACGGTTCAGCCTTTCTGCCTAAATTTTACAATAAGTTCATGTTGTATTAAGTTATCGTTTTTTTTCGCAAAATCTCATCAAGTTTTCTTTTTATTTCAATATGTTTTCCTGTCGAAAGTCAACTTGTGTTATTGCCACAATATCGTCAAAAATTTCTGTTCATAAAAGTCGATTCTTTCAAGGGATTTGAGCTACCGGTCGCTTGTTAAATTGTAGGTTTTGATAACTTTCCAATGTCTAAACATAGAGCTGAATAATATGTGTATGAATGTTTAGTGTTTAATAGGTTCATTCCATATTTTGTGTCCATATTTCCAAAAGCACCATGTTTGCGGAGGGCAAATATTGTGCAAATACAATTATACATTTCCAAATGTTAATTCAGAATTTAAACACTTACATTTGTTATTTTCAAAATTTGCTTCAGTAATTAATCCATTCAAACTACAACCTTAATTCCACAAACCGTCTGCTGCCGTTTTGTTGTTTTAGCATTCACACTTGGTGTTGGACCAACTGTTTTTGGCGCAAAATATCACGATTTCAGATCACAAAGGTTTCGTAGACAATATTATAAATTCCAGACTAGCATGTCAGCATGATTTACGGTATCAAAACACAAAAATAACATCACATGGTCCTGAAAGTATAAATTTCAACGCAAGCTATTCCTTCGCACAGAGATTAAATCATCATGGCAAGTATAATTTCAAGTGTCACTGTTTGTTTAGAGTCGCATTTTGTGGTGCCTCGTAAACATGTAGTTATGAGAAGCCTGTCATTGGGCACTCACAGTCCCTTTATGTGATCCCATCCACTTTACACTCCAATGTGTTCTAAGCCTATTATACGTTGGTCGTTTAATTGAAAAACTCTAGCCATCTTAGGTACGAAATAGACGTTAAGTTTTATCTGGCACCTCCGAAAATATAACAGCGAATAAGTAAAAATTTGAAAATTTTCAAATTTAATTCAATTCTTCGGCTGTACAATTTTATCCATTTTCACCCCGTTAAACATACTTAAAAAACCTTGAGTGATTCCATCTCTTGTAACTATTAAAAGCAATATTTCAAACTAAATGCGCTACTTGACCTTAACGGTTGATACTTTCCAACACTATTCACCATTGATACTACTTCATTTTGGAAAATTCAAACTTCAACACTTTGATATTTCTGTTTCATTAACCGTCTCTCATGCCAATTCACTGTTCCACCAAACTTCAACAAAGATAGAAATTTGCCTACAAGATTCTGGCTTTCTGCTATTTTGATATGTACAATTTCAGATATGAAAAAAATCTATCTTCTTTGGAGTGGGATCGTGTACAATGCATAACATGTTGCGAAAAATTCCAGCACACTAGATTAGATAATTTTCCAGCTGACACGGATGAATCCGCACGTGTCTCAGTTAAGCACAATTTGCTCAAAGCTGCTGATTCAGCACCAACTTCCGATAACGTGAATCCCCTTTGGCCTTAATAGAAACTTACATGGAGGACTATGAACTTGGAAAGTGTAAATCATGCGAGTTAACATTGAGAGGTTTACTTAAAAATTAAGTTTCGCCTCATTTTATGAGTGCTATCCCAAATGGCTATCCTTTTGATGTTTACATCAAGCATAGGTCTCACAGTATCCGCATTAGTCTCACAAACATCCACCTCTTGATTCACTTAGTAAAGCAGGCGCTCTTTTAGCAATCAACCCGAAAATTAGATTTATTTGTGGATAATAAGATTACATTCAAATAGAATTTTCTCTGCTTCTTAAGGCAATGCGATTACTTTTGCTTGAAGTAATCTGATTTATTTAAAAACTGCAGTTTTCAAAAGGTATTGTGTGAAAATATTAACCCTTGAGTTGCACGAGAATTGCTTAAAGCCCTTTAAAAGATTTGTGCAATATCATGAGCATCTGATAAGCTGGGTTGTGATTGCGTTTGTTTAGTACTTGACAATGAAATGAATCATTCCACTTAGGTGTCTCCCATGTCGTACAACACACTGAGGCAAATATGCTAAATGTGGTTTGGACCGTAATTTCGAACTAGTTTATGTGGATCCAGATTAGGACCATCAAGGTCAAATACTCAGCATGACAAGCATTAATAAGTATTAAAGGGTTTACAGACAAATAATTCCAGCGACAATTAAGCTCCAGTGCTTAGCTTAGCAATGCTCTGCCTATAGTGATTACAAAATTGCTTGAGAATATCCTTCGAAACACCATGCGCTCTGGAATACCTATGGTTGCCATGTCCATGTAACTTAAATGACAACATTAAAATCAGTCAAAAGTCGTTGAAGCTACATTATTAATGAGTAATTAACATTCGTGTTTGTGAGCTGACAGTGAGCATGCAAAATCCGCCTCACTGCTCCAACGGAAGGCCTTAGCTTTAGCTTATCCGATAGAAACATTCTTTTACATGAACGCCAATTGACCATCCCAAATTCTATGTACTTTTACGACAGATCCTATCTTTCAGTATTTGGCTCATAAATACTGATGTTAAAGGCTCATTTTACGCAACCTCAGTCAAGTTTGATGTTCCAATAACCTTTGATTCCTGTTTGCTTTTGAAATAGGCTAAAAATGGATTGGTTTAAAAAATGTTGATTTCCAACTGAACTATTTAAAAATCTTTTGATTTGTTTTGACCTACTTTCCAACTTAAATTAGGAAAAGAATCACACAAACACGCAAATCTTTGCGGAGCTTTATCTGAAAGGAATAGAGTTAAATCAATTGAGCGGTTAATTGTTCTCTTGCACTCTGAAAATAATTAATTTAGAGCATTTTACCCATCTGGAACAGCCAAATGATTTCAACTTCGCGAGACCTATTCCATTATTGAAGGCTGGTCTTAACCAGGTGACCTAGATTCTTCGAAATCAGACAATTTACACTCTGTGTTTATTCTAGACAGAAGTGCAAACCCTTTGCAGAACATCACAAGTTGTTGAGTTTAAGTACCTCCAAAATCACAGACTGCATATGTCCATAGCGTAGTCCGAATGAAACGGGGAAAACAGAACCGATGTTAGCACGGAATAAATGATGCACTTTGTGAATGCTTCGCTTTTCCAACTCCAGCCAGCAGGGATTTAGCTTTTGCTTTTAACTCTGTCTTGCCATTTCATTTTACAAGGAGACCGTTTGTGTTCCCTAGCTACTTTTTCACTGTTAGAATAAGTGTAAGTTTGGAACTTCTTCAAGTTATTTTCCGCTTATGCAGACAGCAGTTGCTTCAGGCGTTTTGTGACAAATTGGCATTAGCGCTTTTGAATGCATTAATTGTAGCAATTTTAAAAGGGACGGAAAAATCTGATACTACTTGCTGAAATAACGAGGCAATTCAACTGCATACAAACTCTCCACAAAGTAGGACAGCTCTGAAAATTCGAGAATCCACCAAAGTTTTTGTAAATTTGTCACATTCTGGGAGTGTCTGTCTAATTGACTATTCAAATTATCGATAATGGATGAACTGGTAAAGTCAATAATTCACGGAACTAGAAACCTGCAAAGCAGAAAGTCGTGCCGATTTTCTGATTGGCTATCTGGATTCGAAAAACATGTGACGACAGTCTTAGTTATTGGTCTGTGTGACAAGCGAAGAAATGAGATCTCGTTACACAAACCAAGCTACTTAATTATTCAGAGAAATCCTAGTAGCTTGTGTACATCATTTTAACTAAACAACTGAGTTTCTTTGGGAGTTTTTACAAATACTTGGCTACCCTTGGCAGTCTTGACACGGATTGAATTCATCCCAATCGTGAAAACTCTTCATGACTAATTTAAAATGCACTTTTTAAAGTCCACTGGTTGATTTTGTTGGGTTGGGGCTCAAGATCTGTTTTTTTTCCTAACTCCAGATACTCTACAATCGAGCAACGCACAAGTGTCACATATATGTGAAAGGCCAAGATGGTTCAATTATTCTATTATGAGACATTGGGTCGACGTTGTGATAAACTCATCCGAATAAACGGTCGGAAGATGTCATTGGAGCTGTATGCCTTTGAGGGCCTCCCCTCAACCAATATCACCAATCGATGGGAACTTCAATTTCCTTGGTTTACTTGTCGCTATTGCTCGGTGATAAAGGTAATTTGCACTTCACAATGTGTTCTCCGTTTCAGCTCTTCCTTTGAATCAAAATTTCATAATAACTGATGCATCCTTAACTGTAGTTCAAAGTACAAAGTCAACCACTCTTTCAAGTAAGAATAAAACCTACGTGATTTACATGTCGCAAGACCTGCGTCCTCATTCGCCTCGCTGTTCATAAACACGTCGTGTAAACGTCCACCACGGTTTTGTAGTCGACTGGTACTTCAAGTAAATGTTGTCTTCGACTATTGTTTAGCGAATTGATTGGCTTTAGTTAACCGACAAAAGCACACATGGGCGTGCTTTTGACTCCTTGAATGGGAGGGATATTTCATCCACAGCTGAATCAAAGCCATTCATTCAGGCGAAATAAGTTAAAATGCCCACATGCTCCGATTCAAGGGACAGCTGAAATCATACTACCCATAAAAAGGAGCTAGACTCAATCGTGTTCCGCTATAAAGATTTCTGAAAAAAAAGTACATGTACCACCGGAACAAATATTATCAAATACAATTCTCTCTCCATATAGACCAGCCTGGATTGTAATAACCACGATTGTGGACATAAAACGCGGGGATCTGTATGCCACTATGACCAACTAAAGTGTTCAGTCAAAGTGAATACAAATCGCCGTGTGAAGAAAGAAAATTAATGCTTTCCTTTTAGAACACGATCAGCACAGCACGTATTTTTGTTTATATTTTCGCAAGATGTTATTTTGGCAGGTGAATGTCGAAATCACCCTGAGCAATATTTTTTTCAGATATGTGGCTCGAATAAACGATACCAGACGAAGGCGAAGGCGATGTGTACCAAACACGACGGAGCTCTTTTTGTCACGGGCAAATTCAAAGACGACGCTGAAGGTTTGGCCGGTAAACCGCATTTTTGCATCTTCCTTACCAGCAACGTGACCCAAGCAGACTTCCATGCGGGCTACATTCTTACCGGTACCCTACAGCGCGGTGATAGACGAAAAAACGACTGGGAGACAACCCACTTTGCCATGGTTCGACGTAGAGGCTACTAGTCAAACATTTACGAATGCGTTCACGCTCAAGTGATTATGCAATAGTGATGCTGACTGGCAACACACATAAGCACACCTCTTTTTGCATGCTATATGCTGTAAATGCTTGTGGATGCGGATTTTTTTACTATCCTTTAAACGTGTTCTGCTTTACCGTCTGTTGAAATCAGAGAGAGTTATGTTATGATGTTTACAAGGGTTCATCTCGTTTTCATGGCGGAACTGAGTCCTTGTACATGGTGACTGTCTCATGGCACGAAAATCAGTACTTGAATTTGGGAGGGTTTGAGCAGCTGTCTCCAACACTAGGCAATGGTTGCAGTTACGCCACGAAAACCGATTAAGTTATTTTCCTCTTCGCCTTTTTTGAGTCTCTTTGAGGTTGTAGCAGGAGAGAAAACCTCAAAACTCCGCTGGTGACAACATCGTCTACAAGCACTTGATGCGCTACGATTTCAGATAGCCTTATATGCAACGAAGTTAACTCGCATTGTACTAGAAATTGCTGGGACAATGATCAAGCAGGATAACACCTTGAAACTTACATCCTTGTTACCAAACCTTCCAAGTTCTGCATAGGTGTATAGCTGATTACACTGATATATGGTAGAAAGCTCCGTGTTTCGTTTACTCCAGGTACGGACTTAAAAACAGGGTTCGTTAAGTGATGAGCGGTAGAGGATCAGCAGTGATATTTTCATTAATGCAGAAATACGGTAAAATGCAAAAAATTGAGCCATCAAGTTCATCTGTACTGAGCCGGGAATGTCGTTGAACGGAACTTCAGAAACGGATACACATGTAATGGTTGGTTTATTATCCAAGTTTACATTTAATACACATCAAGCATTACCACTACTGATGCATGACCCATCAATGATTAGTCTACGAGCAAAATATGGACATGTCAAAAAAGAGATCGATTAGTTTAGAGTATCTGCTTGAGTTTTTTTTAATTCACTTACTTGGTAACGCGTATTTTTGAAATACATTATTCCTCGACTCTAAAACATAAGTAAAACTTGCAAATGTGACCATCGGTGGTCTTTCAACAAGTGCAGTATTAAATTAAATTTATTCCAAATGTCCCTTTCCTAGCATCACGCAAGTTTAAAATTATCGTTTTACGGAAAGTCGTCTTTAGATTAATCGTGTTGAAGCGTAAGAGAGAATAGTATCCTCTACAATGAAGGTCAAACTAGGAAAAAATATTGCTGGATGCAGCAAACTGTTCGTTTCAGCCCTTTTTCTGATGTCTCAGCTACTGCCATTGAATGAGCTGTGAGATACTCTACGGTTCAGGCTGGAAGCACGTGTGGTGAATCCTGCGGATTCACAACCGCCACATTTTACGCCTGACCGCGTCCTATCTTTACTCATCCCAGCAGACCCCTTGATGGCCCGCTTGGCGTTAACTCCGTGCCCATCCCGACGGACCCCATTGTGTATCTTGGACTCTCTGTTCATGTAGACAAAGCCAGTTAATCCACTATATGAACACTTTGCTGGTCACATATACCACCTATAAACAGCCTAGAACAGTCACGGCTGTACACGCAGATCTAGCTGCCCAGTACATAGTTTAACCTCTGTGGACTTTGGTTTTCTCTTTAGTTCCTGGGTACTTGGTGTCGGAAACTGCCGCGACAGCAGGACATCTGGGATCTCCGGCATACACATCGTTTCCCTTGAACCCGCTTGGCTGAGACTCGATCACAAATTTATTCACAACTCAGTTTGAATTAGTGGAAGTATTTTAAGTAAACTATACCTCAATCGGCGAGGCGAATGGGTTCTGTTTTTCGCAGGGAATTTACCACGCCACGGGACACTACTACTGATCAGTAGACTGAATAGTACAGGTTCCCACACTTTTTGTAGTGTCTGATTTGAAGTCTATTTAAGGTAATAAGTATGATAGCTGTCAGTTTACACGTAAGCTATTCAAAGGCAACCAAATTAGCGTCTCAAATTTTCATATGAATGGGCGTTTCAGTTTTACAAATTCAGAAGCAAATATGCTTCGATTCTTGTCAGTGACCGTACTTTGAAAAAACGGTACGAGAAATAGTCATTTCCGGCACTACTGTTGTTGAACTCAATATAATTCACCTACGGACCTTTTGACCACCCATAATTTACCCAGAAGCAAATTTGTAATTGAGAAATCAATGCCATTTGGGTGAAATGACGTGAGGCTCAATAAACAGGCCGGAAGCTCTCAAATACACGAGCTTTGGAGTTCTTCGCGATCGATTTAACCTAAAAACCAATGAAAGCTCATTTAGAAATCTGTCGTCGCAACAGGACTGACTTGTATTCACAAGAGGACACATAAACCCTGATTGCTGTATTCGCCTTCCATGATTTCATTAAACCACCCAACTTGTTAGGTGCTTACCTGTTGTTACTCCTGCCACTCTTAGAAAAGGTCATAAAGCACTGTAATGAGTAGTGAGTCTTAGTGAAACAGAATTTCGGTAAACATAGAAGCTCAAATCAAGCCGGGCGACGAAACTGACAAATGATGGTTGGTGTGACTTCGCCGCATTTGGTGAACTAGCGGTTTATCTTTTTATCAAAAACTGAAACTAAGCAGGTTGTTTTCACGAGTGACCTTGAGAGGCCTTTACCTTGGGGTCCTAGGAAAATTATGTGAATCAATACTTTACTTCTGATGTCTCGTTTATAGGAGATCATGTGAGGCATAATAGGTGTCTGGGATCAGTGTCTTGGAGACAATGCACCAACTCAATAGTCTAAAAGGGTTCATCTGAAAGAAGCACGACAATGTCAAACTAGTGAAGGGCAATGCGCATACAAAGAGACAGCCTAATCACAGACAAAGCGAACACCACCATCGTGTGTATTAGGTTTGGCAAATACACATAAAAGTCAAAAAGGGAAGAAAAACGTACAGTATGAGAATTTGATCAGGTTATTACAAGCATAAATACACATACATACAGACGCAAGCATTCGGAGAAAAGAACTAAAAACGCGTCCCAAGAGTGTTTGTAAATACAAGCATAAACATGTTTGAAAGACTGTCGGGATTTGAAAATAGTAAAAGTGATAAGCCTAAAGTCGTTTATTTGTTTGACTGACTCCATCGAGAATCTTGGAAGACAACGCACTTCGGAGGCTGTGGTGGTGGCAGTGGTGGCGCCGGCGATGATTGGAGTGGTTTTGCCGATTGGGGGGCTTTTCTGGGGGTCACTAAGGCCTCCTGGTCGCAGATGCCTCCAGTATTCGTAAGCCACACAGTCTGAGACGAGTGGTACTTTGTGAGAGGCCGTGACTGACCAGATGCGGTGGAGATGCTGGGGGCGGAGCATCGAGGAGCCGGGTTCAAAGGGGGAGGTGATGGACGTGCAGGATTCGTGAAAGGGGGCAGAAAAGCAGGATGGTCTTGCAGGGGAGGAGCTGGACGACCCATCAGGGGAACCAGCTGACCATCCACGAGGGTCATGTTGGCGTAAAGGTGGACGTTAGATATGTAACTGGGATCTGGAGATTGAGCAATACAGGCGATAGTGCTCAACCGGTCAACGGAGCCTGGAGCGATTGAAACAAAGACCCAGTGTCAAAATCAACAGACCTACATCGTCCGGAGAGGTTAACTGTGCTTTTCATATGCAGAGTTTGCATTTCACCGTCGTTAACGTGATAACTCGGATGTCTGGTACACAAATGAGGTCATCATTAAACATGTCGCAAACATTTATTGTATCTTAAGTCATTTCCACTATCTGTCTTCAACCGATTTTAGTTTTACTTGGCACAAAGAGTTAATTCTGACTGAAGGACATAGTGGTTCTCCCAATTTAAAAATAACATGAGAAAAGGTTTTATAAGGTGCCTGCCTTGCAAAATGCTTTTAAATGCTGAAAACTGCAACAATACTTAAAGACGTGGTTGGCACTGACTTAGTGATTTTCTTTGATGTTAAAATTACTTCTAAAATATTACATAAGTTCCTTCCGGCAGGTTATATTACCAGGTCACTTTAATAAAACAGAAGCGGTAGTAAACAATTACACTGTTAACTTCTCGCTATCGTGGCTCTAGACAAAGTGTGTGTACAAAAACAAAGCTAGTGAATTACCAGGATGCTGTCCACGTCTGAGTCCACTAAAGGAACTTCTCGACAGCGGGCGTTGGGTCTCTCGAGCGTACTCTTCTGTAGCGCCCACTTCATTTCCCTCGTCTTCTTCATCGCCAGCCCGGACTGAGAACCTGCCCAGAGGCGATGGCTCGAAGTGTCCCGGAGAGTACCCGCCGACGAACCCAGGGCCACTCGCTCCGCTGGGAGTGCCGTGGATGTCGACACCCACGTAACCCACAGAACTGGAGCCGTCTGGCCCACTTGGGTCACGGCTGTCCGCAATGCCCAGCTGCATCTGGTAGCCCGATTGGGGCGATGTTCCCGACACCATGAACTGCTGGTAACTGAAATATTTTGTTTGCTGTGTAAATTCGCGTCACCAATGTAAAACAAGGGGTAAATTTAGGCCAAGTTAGCGTTTAAAGCTTATAACACATAAAACACGTAAGCGGTTTCATCTCATAAACACCAGGTGGTACCACCTAACTGGCAGCTAACTTTTTTCTCGTTTCCACTAAGGTGACAGCACCTCAGCCATATGTTTTGTACAAAAAAATTAATTTTGCAAATAGAAGGGAGGAAATATCAAACTTTTTATGGCCACTTATATAAAGTTGTACAAAATGAACAATCTCATGTCGCATTTTGCGGGAAAAAATTAAATCCACCAAGGAAGATTTTCAGTTAACAGTGTTCGCCGCAAACTTTGAAGACCACTGTATGCATTTTAAACCAGGCAAAAACTTGGCCGGAGGCTAGTTGAGGGAAATCATATCTAAGGAACAGCAATAGATTAATTAAGAAAATATTTTACATTTAAGCATTAATAAAGTGTTTTGAATGGAGAGTACGTATGGCGAGCCACCGCGGAAAAAAGTAATGAGTTATCTTCCTGATTAGTATTCACAACCATCGTCCAACCACTTGTGCCTCAGCATGTTGCTCATGTTAGTAACTAGATGCATGGAAACTATAATTGACCGGTCATTGTCCCTAAGGCCAATCTACAGTATAAGCAACACGGATTTCTTTGCTTTAATTCCACCGAATATCACTTTTATCTAGAAGCTCAAAGAAGGACATGAACATGGTACAGTAACGCTCCGAATTAGAGGGTAAACGAAGTACCAAGAATTTGACCAATTTATTGCTTGATACACACTCCGATTGGTCAAACTCTTCACGGAAACCTAAGGTTTCTTATTTGCTTCTATCTGCACCAGCCTACTTTGCTCACAAGGCAGTTCCTTGGTTATGGGAAGTTTATTGCGTAAGGCAAATTAATTACACTTCGACTTTTCAAATGTTGTGGATTTTAAAGTGTATCATACATACAAAGGACCGACTGTGAAATTTCCTCGCGTCTTACGTTCTACAATGATTTCCGAGTTCTCTTACTTTTAGAAATTCGTCGCCTTTATCATTGGCTGTGCTGCTGCTTTTGGGCTTCAATGAAGCCCACTGGAAATAAATAACCGAGTTAGTCGCAGTTTTGTGACACCCTGCTTAAAGATGACCTATATTTTTTTCAGGATTTAAGACAAGGGATTGAAAGGAAACCCCATTTTCCACATAAGTAAACGGTTATTCTTGAATTGTGATCCCTTTTTGCTGAGAAAAGCTCCAAGTTTTCGCAGGAGCAAATAAGACCCTTTATTGAGCTTGTCCCCACTACCACGTGCCTTTCAGCGCGATCACCAGTTCACGTGATCGCACGTCCTCATTCACGCTGACCTCTCACCGAAATCGCCTTCAATTAACGAGTGTTTCGCTGCTAGGATTTTAAGAGATGTCCCATTACCCATTTAAATCCTTATTTTCGAACGAAATTTGCACGGTAGCCGTTACAACATGCGGTATCTGTAACAGTTATTGGTTTTTCTTAAATATGAGGTCGCTCTTGGCTTCTTCCTCAGCCTCCACCATTCAAATTGGTCGGCATAAGTGCGATTGAAATGACATGGAAGGTGGCAAGTCGAGCCCGTAAGAAGCAAACAAACCTCGGCGGTGGAGGAACTCGTCGCAGAGACGATCCACCTCCCGAGTACTCGTAAGCGTCGGAGGGTCTTCGCTGGCCGTGCTCGTCACCATCCTTGCGCTGTTTACTGGGGAGCGAACTGTCGGGTGGGCAGGTCGTGCCGGTCCTCCGCACCCACTCCTCCCACAACTGTCGATGCAAATGCATCTACAAGTTATCAAATCGTATTTTTGAAATCGCTGTACGCGGGCACACACAGACTCATTTGTTGGGAACTCATAGATCCATACAAAGTACATGGATGATGACCTCGCTATGCGCAGCTTGCTATAATATTCAATCATGTAACAAACGCATACTTCTACTAAAAGTCAAACCTTTAGGTGCCACTAAAATGAGCAGAGAATTGGTACAAATGAAGTTGTGTATAACCACCTTGGTAAGATTAAATGTTTCTAAGGATTAATTTAGCAACTAAGCGGGTCAGCTCAACTATCACATTACCGAGTGACGTGTTTTGCTTTTGTCAAAGTACCAAGGCCGAACATTATTGATACCACGAGTGTTTTTCGAGAGTAATTTGGAGTTTTGCATATTTTCCCACTCTTTTGGAATACATTCGTTCCGGTGTACTGTCTTTAGAAATTTCATCGTAAAATTTTATTAGAAAAGAAAACTAATTAGAAAGAACGCTCCTATGGTACGAACTAAAAATCACCAGTAGCTTTTATTCGGTATTTTATTTGATTACATCAATGGAGTCAGAAGAAGGGTAACAGAACATGCTTCGCATGTTTTTAAAATCTGATACCTAAATTACTGTGAACAAAATTAGGTCACTGATGGCTACAAAATTTTTTACCTCTAAACTATCCGCAAAAGTTATAAGCCACGTAAAAGCCCATTTCTGATTTACCAGGCATTTCATCCACCCGAAAGTTGCAAACAAAGCCTCTGAATTGTGACGTCACACATGAAGCCACCGTGGTGGCTGCGTGTTAGTGGATTCGCAGTGTACAATGCATTAATAAAGTGAAACGAAACATGTCCCCATAAATTGGAATTCAAGCCACGCTTAACACTTGTAATGCACATTCACTTCATGCAGCACAATCTTATCTAATGATTTAAGTCCTCAAAATACTTCCAATTTCTTGTTGAAATGTAAGCGCTGCCATCGATGGCCAAATGGTCGCGAAACAAGACTGGTAAATTTGGTACTCTTTTAAACCCATTTACAAAGTTTGCGGACCTTGATCTACCGCAGAACAACTCCGACCAGTGATAAACCACAAGTTGCTGACGTATGACGATGTAAGAGGGGACTCCGAAGAAAGTAACACCGAAACAAACTTGAATAATCAGTCTGTACTGGCCTAATGTTTTAAAGCACGTAAAATTCACCTTTTTTGCAAGCGCTCTATGTTTGAGGAGTACAAGCTGAGAAAAAATTTGGCTCCAAAGTATGCACATTTATACAGCCTACTAGCTAGAGACTTTCTCTCCAAGACTTAAATGTGTGCGAGCAGTGCGGCACTACCCAAAACATCCAAGGAATGCGGAAAACTGTTAAAAAGTAGTGAACCACACTCGATTTACTTTATTTTCTGCTTTCTCTTCTAAGTTAGTTTTTTTTTTCAAAAAAAATCTGACTCATGAAAAAATTGTTACAATGAATTCGCCCATTTACAACAATATCGTTGTTTAAACAAATCGAAAACTATATAGACTACCAATAAGGTTACTTGCGTCAGACATCTGAATGGACACTTAGAAAGTGAATTGAGAAAATGGAGGAGTTGAGTTCACAGTTATCAAAGCAATGTTAGGATAGAAAAAGAAATTTAATGTAGAAAATCCGTTAGCCAAACATATGCTCTAGTTAGAAGTACCTATTAACCGTGGTTGTTAAAAAATCAAAGAACAGAAAGGTTTCATAATCACGCCTGCATTTATGCTAATTGCTAAACACGGCCGTTCTCCAAAACCATTTTGTCGTAAAGCGTTTTCTCTCGAAAACCGGAATCGGAAATTAAAGATTGTGACTCAAACATTCGTAAGAAGTAAGTACCCCGGATTTGGGGTAGTACCAGGGAGATGGGTGTTACTTGCCTGTTGGTAGGCGATTCGCATTCGATCCTCCTGAGTCGCAGTGGGTGGGAGGAGGAGGCTGGGCGGTGGCGGCGACGTGAAGATGCGCGGGGGCTGTTGGTCCTCGAGGGCAGAAGCACCCAGGTACCCGGGGCTGCTCGCGTCACCGCCTCCCCCGCCTCCTGAGGTTCCGTCTGTGGAGGCGTCAGCGCGGACCAAAGAGGGTCGTGAAGCCGACCGCTCCCGCGCATGGCCAACTGCAAAAACATCACCACCCGCGTTCATGAAGCATTACGATATTTTACCAAAATATTCAACAGTTCGATCAAATGACTATGGAGATCTGATTTCTTGCATAGCTCACCATCGTCTATACGCCCAAAATCAGGAATATAACACTTTTAATTGAGATGGATACAATCCCAAATTTGAATTGGAAAGTATGCGGATAGAGGGCATATTTAATTAGTGTTGATCTGACTGTGGTCTTATTCAGCTTTAAGCGAAATTTCTGTTTATATACCATGTAGTCAATTTTGGTTACCATTTCCTTATACGATTATTCTCATACCTCACCATATAAACAAAAAATCCCTTTTTATGAATGCTGGCACAGTTTTTGTCGGTATTAATTACCGAAACCACTGCACACAAATCTCTTCATACTTTAGCCAATTTTGAATCGCGCAGAATGTTGCCAAACAGAGCCCACCCTCAGACAGGTGATAAGGGTTAGTAGCTGTCTGACATTATCGTTCGGAAATGTAACCCAGACGAGAACTCCGAGATGTCCCCACCAATAGCATGTCCTCAAAACTAATCTTTGTGCGCCACTTTTGAGTCGTTCTACCCGGAAGCACTTCACAATCGTTGCCACATAGTTTGCACACCTACTAAGGAAATTAGTGGTGTATTAGTGACTTGGCACAAGATTCAAAACCCAGCGTGTCACCATTTAACCTTTGCTCCTAAGCGTTCTCACTTACCCGTCTCGCTATCAGATCTGGTTCTACTGGGTAGATCCTGTAGCGAAATTCCACGATACACCTGTCGCTTTGGGGGTAACTGTGCAAACGCTTGACCCTCCGCTGGTTGCTGGTGTTGTTGTTTCTGCAGCTGCTTCGCAGCAGCCATTTTCTGCTGATGCATTCGACGCCGAGTAGGTCCCGCATACGGTGACAGCATCGCATTCAGTGAAGCATTTGCCGTCACCACTGGGGCCGGAGGAACGGCGGGTGGCCAACGCACGGCCCTTGATTCAAGGCCCGTCGAAGAGGCTGCCACAGAAGCGCTACCTGCTGTAGCTCGCATCCAGTTCCAGTAAGGGTCGTAGTAAGGTAACCAAGCAGGCTGAAAATAGGGCGGTCCAGGCAGTTCCTCGGTTTCGCCTCCTCCTGAGAGGTAGAAATCATCTTCCCCGTTGAGAATCGGCATGGAGACGGGCGCACATGGAGCATAATGACCAAATCCCAATTGATGCACATCTCCAGTGTCAAAGTAGGAGAGTTGGTTGGAGCCACGATAGTAACCGAGTGGATAATAGCACATTGGCCCGCCGGAACCCGGAGTCATGTAAGGGCAACCCATGTAGGGATTTGGATACTTCCCCTAAGAAAATTGTTCACTGATAAATTCCATTATCCTTCCCTTTCAAAAGCATGCCAACAGTGAACGTTCTTAGGTGGTACAAAGAAAGAGGGACTCCATACGGATCCCGCTTTCCACACTCAATGCCTGGAGTCACAAGCTTTAACACGTCATTTTCATGATATAACTCCGTAAAATTCGTTTTTTTGTCCTATTAAAAATTGGCCTTAGTTTTTTTCAACCAATCTAAAACTAAGCCAAATGTAGCATAAATCAGTGTGACAATAGATAACAAGCGCTGTTTATAATTACATCGTAAAAAGTAAATCCGTTACCCGCGAACACAAGTTCAGGAAGGCATAACGCACCAGGGATACGTGGTAAGTACTTGTTCAAGTCCATAATGGAAACCCTCGTCACTAATCTCTCATGCATTATCGAGCAATCTGATTTGGCATTCCAAAGCCAAGACGTCATCAAGGAAGCTTGCATGCCAGCTGCTGGCACACGTGCTCAAATAGGCGCTTGACGACACCAAGTGCTAGTCTGACGTTGTCAAAATGGCATAATTCAAGTACAATAGAACCTGAGGGTACCGTGCTATTTGATGGAAGCACGTCATGAACATGTTTATACACCACCATCAGGTGAGCGTGATTTCCATGTTCTCGAGTGCCTCAAATTTGCTCGAACCCACCAAAGCTGAACTCTCACCGTGGGAAGGCCACCTGACCACATCAATGACTGTGCGGTTGGCTGGAAGTGTCTCCGAGTGGACGCTAGGTGACTCATCGACTGAAAAGATTCAATGGGTCGGGTCCATTGATAGTGTTGTGGCAGTATCACGTCGCTTGGCTCCACGTGAGTGGCCTGGGCTCCGCCCACATCGAAAACCCGTCGACTTCCGCCAGAAACGGTTGACGTTGAACGAGGCGGTGGGCTGATCAGGTCGCATTGTGTGCCGGCCTCCTCCCCGACAAGGTTGCTGGATGTGAGATGGTTCAAGTGACCCGGATAACTGAATCCGTTGTAGAGACGACCGCGGTGAGTGCTGCCACCAAGCGGACGAGGGTATTGCCAGGGATTTCCTGGCTCTTGTTGGTTATTTCGACTTCCGTAGAAGTGTTTTGGGAACATCTTAATGAAAAACAGCGTCATTCAGTCTCAAACACATTAAAAACGCCACTCAGTAAATACTTTCCATATATCACAATATTACCTGATAGTTAGATGAAATGGAAGGTACAACCTGGGGGCCGGTTTGGTGGTGTTGCTGCTGGTGGTATTGTTGACCCCCATGGAAAGAATGGAGGGAAATGCTGGAAGTAGGTGGGTGAGACGGAATTGGTACCGGAGCCTGGAGCGTCCGGGCCGGATTCAGCACCATTTGTTGGTAAGGAAGACGCTCCAAACTCTGTGTCACCCTTGCTGGACGTGGAGGCATGGAGGGCGGTCGGGAGAAAGTCAACGAAGTAAGGTCCCCTCGCGGCTGACGAACCAGGGCCTAAACGAAAGCAAGCTGTTCGTGGGTCGTTTGAGTCGATTAACGAAGTGAACAGTTTATAAAGATTTATTTGTCCATTTAAAAGTCGTCATTTGTTAAGAAACATCCATCAAAGAATATGACTTAATATTAAACTTTCAGTCTTAGACCGATAATCATTAAATATCAAACAAACTACTTTGTGCTGATCCAGCTGTGATGGACAATGCAGTAAGTTAAATTGTCTTCTGTTTAAGCTTTTATCTTTTCGAATATTCTGTGGATATCCTAAGCTAATGTTGGCCAAAATGTTAAAAACCTTAAGAGCAACTGAGAGGTCACACGCGACTAGTTGTAGATTATTTGTATTATCCTATCCAAGATTGACCTCAACCTTTTACTAAACCTGTCTTCAAACAAATTCATAAAACATTAACATTACACACAGGAGACCAGGGAATCATTTGTGGAATAGCCGGTTCTGACTGCGTCGGCACCGACGCCGCCACTGGTGACTGGCTCCACAAAAATCCTTCGTAAATTCCAGTCGACGGAGCCTGTGGAGGAGCTAGGAGCTGAGATGCCCCCTCTTTGCACCTCCTGTATTGTGCCGTCTGCCGACGTTGCCGTTGGTGGTGGCGAAGGCGTGCGTAGATCGGTGAAGTGGTGGAGGGTTGGTGGAGGAGCTGCCCAGTGGCGAACTGGACCCCAGGTCTCCCTCCATGATCGCCTTCTTCGACTTCGTCCCCGCCCTCCGCGTCTCCAACATCCCCCACATCGTCCAATTCCCCTTCCTGTTCTTCAACCTCCTTCTCGCCATCGCCCTTAGTCAAGCTGTGATCCGAGTTATAGGAGCCTCCGCCGGGCGAACGTTGTCGATTTACCGATGCTGCAGTTGCTGCTGTTGTGGAACGCAGAGCCGACTCGAGCTGCGCACACCGGGATTCCAGTGCGGCGTTCAACTTCAGAGCGGCGGCTTTTTCTGATCGCGCGCGTTCCAGGAGAGCGCGCTCAGCCTTGGAGAGCAATTGTCAAGTAATAACTGCCTCATTCATCAGGGCGCTGTTGGTTCGGTTTGCTGAACATCGAAGAAATATGCTGCGCAACCACATGCACAGTAAGCCAACTTACCCCCCGCCGAATGCGTTCCTCCCGTGCCTGCGCCTTCATCTGCTGAACATCCACGGAGTCAGGCTGCCTGCGCCGCATAAACAAAGAATGATTCCCAGCGCACAAGTGGATGATGTTCTTTGCCTACAACAGTGAATTGATGGCATACTATACAACCCTTCATTGAAGAACTAAAACGAAATCTAATTTCTTGTCCGCGATAATACTTATTGGCTTAGGTTGCACGGTTTAGCAGTATTGCTGGTGAGTATTTATTGCACCCAACTTATTTAGGATTACGGTGAGTGTAGCAACCTAGTATAGGCCTGATGTAGTGGTTTTGAGGGCGGCGAATTAGAAAGTGATGCTCATTCGCTAGGGATGGATGTTGATCACACCTGGTAAGGTTCAGCAAGCCACATCTCGATGACGGTGGCGGCGTGCCGGGAAGTCGGTACGGGCCCACTGGCGACCGAACCACCCGACGAGACCCCCGACCCCCCGAAGGCGCCGCTGTTGGGGGCCCCGGCAAAGTCGCTGGCGGGACTTGCGCTGATGGTGGATCGATACGGGTGGCCACCGCCGTAGCCTCTAAATGTCTCTGTGGGGTCTCGAACCTGTGAAGAGGGCTCCGGGATCTCTGGAATAAAAATAACAAGTTGAAGGAGCTCTGTCATGGAACTCGAATTTTAATCAATATAAATTCTCGATTACGAGTAGTTGATGAAAAAATTAATTATAATCAAACTTGGAAGGCAAAGGCGTGCCAGGTATGCTTGAAGTTTCTACCGCTGAAAGGCTGTTTTGCACATTTGTGGTACTTTAAATAAGTAAGTAGATAAGATGTTTGTTATTTTTTAGGCTATAAACTTTTATTCAAATGAGTAGCAAAATATTGGATTAATATTACTGTCATTCAGGAATTTGCATTTTGTCGTTGACCAGAGGTCTGAATATTATGAGTTAAATTTATTTTTAGAGCTTACTAGAAATTAAAAAATAAAAAGGTATGGTCTTTACACTAACGAGGTAACTGTTAGGTGGTTTTATGTTATCAAAATATAAACTCAGATTGTTATAAAAAAAAAGTAGACTTTTGAATAGCGATTGAGGTTTCTGCCCTCGGCACCTTCGTCCTTGTCAGCAGAAGACATATAGCTTATGAGTGGTCGCCAAAAAAGCCTTGCAATCATTTTTGGCAGGTGTCTTGAGCATTTTTCATTTTCCTGTGGTCATTTCACAAGAGAAAAATTAAGTATAATCGGAATGGAAGTTCAATCACGATTATTCACTCGCAGTAACTAGTCATTCCCTTAATCAATGGGAGTTGGTGCTCACATTTGGCGTGCGTGGTGACTAAACGGGATGAAGGTTGTTTCGTCAAGGCGTGATAGACCCCTCCACCAGGCTCCACGGATTTCCTTCTCAAGTGGATTTTTGCCCAATAAGAGCACCCAACCCAAACGACTACCCACAATGTGGCATCAAACACACGACCATGACCTTAATTGGGCACTGAGCTCATGCATTTGGTCACCACTAATTACAAAACCCAATGTGTGGTGAATCTCGTTCATCCACTGCCGTCAACACGGTTCGCGAATAGTCGGGCCCCGATCTCATCCGGCCACAGACTCCAGGCTGAGCCGCCCAATCCCGCGTTGGCGCGCACCTCAACCGACGCCCCCGTGGAGCCCCGTTTAGTGGGGTCGTCGCACTGTTAACATCCCCCCGCGGCCTCCCTCCAACCAGCTGTGTTGATGCATAGGCGACAATGGCCCCCAGCCACTCATGTGTACCGCCCGAAACAGGACTCAACAAACACGATTTGAGACAATCTGCGTCAGTGGCCAAATTAACCTTTGCGTCTCCACCGCCTTCTGTCCTCTGCTCATCAGGGTACTTGGAGTCGGGTCGGCTAGCAGCGGTCGCATTAATTTAATTGTTCCGGTGTAAGTACGAGTTCCCTATCGGGGGCTCTAACAAAAAGAATAGAGCACTTAAACCCGACATTAGCTTCCCATTTTTAGTCCGTGCAACAGCGAGCTCATAGGACGCACCCTCATCCAACACGCACAACACAACTTTTAGGTCTCTATCGCAGCAATTACGACAGGTAATATGTTGAAATGGTCGTGGACTGCATGTGGATGCACACGTTTATGAAAACCGAGGTTTATTTTCCACGATTATCTCGAATACTGAATACGCTTGGTGGTTATTCTACTGCTTCAACAGGTTTGTACCCAAAGACTAGGCATTTACTTACTCCCTTCCAGCCTCGATCCCTCAACAACATCGATGACGCCAGGAGAAAGGTGGCACTGCGCCTTGTTTCTCGCCCCCACCAACTGACCGCGCGGTTGATGCGACGCCGCAGAGAGGTACTTGCCTGACCTTGCGTCGCCCATCGCCTGCGCCGGCGGGGGCGGCGGTGGTGGCAGCGGGGGGCGGGAGAGCGCGCGCTTGCCCGACACCGGGGTTCCCGGCCGACTGGGTGAACGGCGCGAGATCGAGGGGGTGTGCGGGGCGCTGATGGCTGCGCCCGGTGACGAGCAACTTGGTGCTGCGGTCTGGCGACCTGCGACTGCACCGCCAGACTTCTTTGAAGGACGCCAAGATGTGTTCAATTTCACTGTGAACTGCAAGATTGAACCTGGTGCTAAACTACAACCCTCTCAGGTAGGTAAGTCGATTTTACTGTGTTAAGTACTCTAATCAGCCTAAGCAATTTTTGGGTTCTAAAAAATCCAAGCAAGTCACTAACTGTAAATTGGAAGAATGGGATTCAAAGTGACAATTAGTGCGTTCTAGTCCTTCCCGAAAATTAGTTTTTGACTGGCAAAACTAGGTTAGAATAAACGTCAAGACCCAATAATCAACATGCGAAAATCCTTAATGATTAACAAACCAGCCAATCATTTCGACCACTGAATTCTTCACTAAAGTCAGAGATGTGGACGAGCTGGGTGGATTTTACAGAAGCTGCCAAAGTACGAATCCTTCATTTAATTTTTATTTCATGCCTCAAAACTCTGTTAGATTACCTCCACTAAGGTTGGCGTATGAGGATATTGATCTGAAAAAAAAACAAACAAACAGAGGACCCACCTTGCGTTCTCGATAGGAGACATTTTTGATTATGTTCCAAGGGAAGGTATATCGAGCTCGGTCAACTTGGTTCTTCGCGAACAGTTGTATTCCCGCTGCAGTGATTCCGACCCACGACAATTCCTGATGCCGATCCTGTAAAGGCACAATGGGCTTTTAGACACTCGATTTCCTTATTACGGATTATGAAAAAGATGGCAAAGGATTCGACAAAAGCAACAGCTGTCTGATTCAATCACGCAGCATCTTTTGCTGCAAGACAGTTAAATGGAACGTGAATGAGGGCGTGTGCGCCCCGGATGTTGGACGAGGTGGTGGTGGTGGTGCCCGTGGGAGGGGCAGACGTTGGCCAGGTGAGCCACGTCACCTGCTCCTCCCTCCTTGGTGATACCGAACAGCAACGCGTCGTCCGCACAGCTCACGACACCGCCCTGCTTGATGGGAAGACGTTGGGCATCTGTCGCTCAAGGGTGCGTTCGTGGGATAAACGGAACCAACTGTTTTCTTAGACTGATCCACATCAGGTCTACCACGACAAGTAAACTCGTACATCCATTTCTATCTGGATCTGCTGACTTGTGTACAAGAACAATTCCTTTTTTGGCAAAATCGGTCAGATTTTGCCATATTGTAAGTGAAATTTAAGTAAATCTGACTTGAATGAAATGAAAAATGATTCAATCGGTTTCACATGGCCTCCAAGCTCTCTGGCAGTACGAGACGGACTGATACACTTTGATACGTGCAAGTCTTTTAGTTTCGCGTGCGACTTCATGATTGGCTTGAAAATTTCCGGCGCAATACTTTTGTAATGATTATCTGCGATCCTGGTGGAGAATATAAAACATTGTCGCTGTAATGCTACAATGCATTGATGGCATTGGTCGACGGAAAATTGCATGATTTCATTTGCCACCAGCAGAGCATCGAGGCAGCACACTTACCATTATCCACAAGTTCGCATTGGCTTATTTGGCTACTTTAACGAGCGTGTTCGTAGCGTCGCACTTTCGATAAACCTTCGCGCGGTATTCAAATACAATCCACTACAAAACCGAAAGCTATCATCTACACGAACAAGTCATAATGGTGCAGTCAAATACCCAGCACTAAATTTGTGAAATGGAAGTATATTTCCACATGAGAGTGTCAAAGTGACCGCGGTAGTGAGGTACCGGATGCGTCTATACGTTCAAGTAGGACGCATAGAAATGTTACTAATAATAAGCATGGCCAGTTGCAGATGAAAATTGAATGCTAAAAGAAGGGATTGGTTGGTGGTTCCGTAGATCAAAATATGACATAATCTGTGGCCCCTTGCACATAAAAATGCAGATAGGCTTCACAATACTCACAACTGGAGGAAATAATGTAAATGCGATTTTTTGCTTAAGTGCATCTCCCCACAGGTTTCCTTAACGAGAACAGTGCTGGTCAAAAGAGATGGGGCTTATCCAGTTGACTTTCTAATGAAAACCGGGGTAGCAACGCATTTAACCTTGGTCTACCGTTAATGTCCGGCTGGCGGAACTAACACTAAAGACATTTGCTGCCACCACAAATTTATTCCCTTTTGTTGAGATTTTGTGTTGTTTTTCGGGTTGGCCAGGATGTGGCAGAAGTAATCACGCGTTCACGCTCTCCTGGGAATTAGATAAGAACCACTAGCTGGACTTTTTTATAAAAGGCCCTACAATGATGAGCGCCAAGTCACGCAAGTCTCCTGCACAAAAAATGACAAAATACTAAGCAACAGTCTGTAAATGCTAAAATGTAAATGAAAGTAGCGATTGAGTCTTGATCCCGTTGGTGGTCCAATGTCTAAGTGCACGGGGTTGCCCTTCCGAAAACGCGAGGGCTATTTATGGTAGCCAGTAGCAACACAGATGTTGGTAGTTTTGTGGTTTTTCTGACACTGATGTGGATTCGAGTAAAGAAAAAAAAATGAAACGACGAGAACATGGCGACTAATGTCATATTCTCAGAGCCATCTTGATAGTCTGGGTTTAACGATGTTTCGTTCTTGTCTGTAGGATCACACGGCGGAAATATGCGTGGGAACAGTAACGAAAAACTAGCCAAGGAGTGTTAACGTGGAGATCGGGCTGAAGTACCTCAACTGATCACCACATCCCTTATACGACTGGACTACTGGGTATTCCATTGTAACTGGCGCATCCTAGAATTATGAGGTCAGTTATATTGTAGATAGAGAATGATCTTATTCATTTCAAGGACCCAAATTTTAAAAAAAAAGTTTGCTTTCCAACTAATGCGTGAGCAGAATATACACATTCTGTCTTTGAGAAATACATTTGCCAAGACTAATTTCACACAAAGAGCTAGTTTATGTTAGGTGGAAGGAAAATGACAGTAACGTAGTGGCTTTTCGCCTTAGGATTTTAGTTCATATGCAACTCATTTGTGTTTTTTAATTCGACCAGGGTGGTTTATCGGTACGTCGTCGGATGCCGCCAGATTCAGTGTTTGTTGTGTGGTGAGTCGGCTAATTCATGGCGATGACTTGTGTTGGCTTACGACCTTCTATAAACTTACCTCAGCATATTGAGAATGCTTTCTACTTTGGGCAACTTGGAAATGACCAAAAGAACAAACATTTGACTCACTTACAAATCGAAAACTTATGCTTTTCCAGTACGATCGTAGTGTGACACTCACTTCCAAAATGACCAAGTGCTGACTCAAAGATTACATCCCTCTTAAACCCTTGGCCTGGTAACATCAAAATCGGACGCCTTTAATAATGTCCAATTTGTTGTAAGGAGGTCAGTTCAACGGTCTGATGAGATCCCAGACAAACGTGCACACACACACACACACACAAAGAGTACTCTCCGGGTCGTAAAGATGTTCGGAAGTGTTTGAGTTCGATCACTTTTAGTTTAATCAATGTTTTAGAACGCTCAAATCCGCCTAGCAACAACTCATGTGTTTTTGATCCTCAGAGAGAAAAAGAGCATCTGTTTTTATGAACATAAAAGAATTATGAGAGCAAACACCGTGCAACCCCAGTGCACTCGTGCGCACGTAAGAATTTCGCAGGAGGCAAGCGACCTTTCCACAACCTACACGGTGATAACTACGGTCTCTCAACCTACCACAACGAATGCGACAGGGGTAAGAGATCCTGGTATGCGGTGGGAAGACAAACTGCCAACAGGAACACTCAGTTTTTCGGATTTCCGAAAAATAGCCTTGCCGCCGCCACCCCCTGCGCCAAATACGCCTCCATACGCTCACGACTGTGTGAAGGAGTAGGGATTTCATTCCCTGAAAAGGCCACCAGACAGCACGATCCTAGGAAGGATTCCTGTGCTTTTTAATGTCTTAGTGCTTTTTAGAGTTTACCCTTAGAAAAGTAGTTAATCCTGTCACCTCTGTGTTTTTAATGGCTTTGTTTAACAAGCAAAAGATCACGTTTTAAATTATCCTTTGACCTTTGGTAAAAAATGCAATCAAATCCACGGCTGATATAACGTAGACACTACGTTCAACTGATACTTGTTAATACATCATTAGTGGTCTAGTCTAACCAAAATCAGCATTGACATAGACATTTAATACCCTGTAGCCCCCAATAAAAAAGCATTTATTGGATCTATATGCAAAACACGTTTCCTTAACTCTGAGACTTGTAATGTATGGTGTTTATAATTAAAAAAGGGGTCTATATTTTCGAAATGCATGAAATTTTGATGAAGCTTCCTTGTTCAAATTGTAAATTTGTATAAAATTTTCACAAAATACCAACTGATCGTACGTTTCCGAGTACAAAGTAACATCTCACAACGAGTTTAGATTAGAACCAAAGGCATTGCAGCCATCAGTAAGCTAAGATGCATTTCTTGAAGAAACTCAGTATAATTTAATACTGCAATGGAATTAAGAAGATGGAGTGCCGTAAACCAGTCTTAAAAACCAACAGTCGTAATTGTAGGAAGTGCGCAGTTAATTTCGCCATCCAATCGACATCGATCACCAAGATCACCGATGAACCACTGACACCCAGAACGCCTGTCTCCCCTTGTTTATGTGATGTTTTTTTCATGTGCTTTCTGTTGGCACTACATGTGCTCACTGGGCCATGCTCTAAAAATCATTCGGTTCAACATTTAACAGAAACTTAAACTAGCACAAAATTGTAACGATTTCGCGGAATTTTCATCATCAGTTCAAAGGTAAACCATTCGATCTTTTCTTTCACACGTAGAAGTATTTAGAAAGTTTTTTTTTTGAGAAAATACTCCACCTAATTCGCCGATTTGTGACCTGATTTTCCCGGTGGCAACCAAGCAAGCAAGTGCCAGGAAGTTTCTAGGGTGCATCGTAGAAGTGGACGATTAGGTGTCTATCGACTGGAAGATCATAAACACCACATAAATATGGTATAATGATATTACCATGCAGTAAGCACCGAATACTGAACGCCTAAACCTCAGACATTTTTTACAATCATCAAATCACTTCTAGTTAAAGGTTTCTCAAATATTTGGCTATTTGTCCAATGAAATGCTCAAAAAGTGGCGAAAATTTTGCACACGGCTTGTTTTCCTGTGCTTAACCTGAAGTCTGCTCTTGTTTGTCCCTTTTCATTAAGTAGTAGGGAATTCATAAAATCACCAATTCCACACGCGTCACGTTCGACAAACGGGTTCTCTAAATTACATAAATGAACTTAGAATGACAGCATCTGATCTGGAGACACTGAAGCAGGACCCTGCGAATCGGAAATATTCGTAATTGGTCTAAACAGACCACCCCGGTCTGAGCACCGACGCTTGTCTCGTGCGCCGAGCAGGTTACACCCCACTAGTGTGCGCCCTTAAAGCGACAACATCGCATTGGTGATGGCTACAAACATGTGGATCGAGAGTTTTAACTCTTTCCTTGGACAGACCACTTATTCTATCAAACGCAACATACTAGGCATAAAGGTAATTAATGTAATATAAGAATCGCGTTCTGTACCCCATGAATGGCCATTCTGGCTGCTACATGTGTAATCTCAAATGCGTGTTGGGCAAACAGAACTGATAATGAATCACGGGACTGCTGAAAAAGGGAAATAAAAACCCCCCAGTAACCTAATTAGTGATCTCTCGTTGTCAAGACTGCGTGGTCTAAAAAAGAGTCAAGCCTCATTTTGTCAGTACGACGAGAATGACAGTATTCCGACAAATTGCTTTAACAACGAATTCAACCAGATACCAGAACTCCAAATGCCTGCCGCACTAAATTCCTTTTGAAATTCTGAAAAATTTCGCAACGTATAGGGAGTGAACGTATAGGAGTGTCATATTTAGAGAAAACTTATGTGAATATGATAACACCGTTGGTTATTTGTAGCCACTACCATGGCCAGTCAAGGGATTACACCTGACTCATTGGCAATGCGCATGGGTGACAAAATCAATTAAGGAGCTTAGCTGGTCAGACATCAAGGCTTGTGATTGGATCAATCAATTTTGGACCAATGTATTGTTTTAGGGATGGGTCTATGCGTTTCGGAGGTATGGTTTTCCTTCGTAGAAAAGTGAAAAGCTTGCCGACATACCCGAATCCCTGGCTCCAACCAAGCCTTACTCTTGTGTAGACGAATATATGGCTTATGTAGAACCTCAACTCAACACGACTCGACTGCCAGAATAAACCCAAACCCAGCACGCCATGTTTATACGGGAGGAAGGCGCGTTTCGATGGTTTGCGAAATGTCGACCGAGGGGTTTTGTGCAGACCGGCGCGGGGACGCGGCCGGATGGCTGGCTGGCTGGCTGGCACACCGCCGCTCCGGGGTGCATGCCAAAAGGCGTCAAGCTATTTTTTCCAAATATAGGCCGGAGATGTAAACAATGGTGACAAGCTTTGCCACGCACTCCTCCCTTCGCCCGATTTTATTTGACAAAGGAATAAGTGCTATGCAAAGAAGTAAGCTAAAGCGAAACACACTGCAAGATACCTTGTGATGTCTTGTGATTTCCAGAGTAAAGTGAATATCAAAAGTAAAAGGTTTATTTTATGAAATTACAAGTCATTCACGGGAACGCTAGGGGTTGCATTTTAGCACAATAAATGATCGTGAACGAGATTTTCTACTGAGATTTTTTTTCAATTCGTATAAATCAGGAATCAGGAAGCGCAGTTGACAGCCTACTTTATTGGTTCCTGCTTATGGTGTTTTTTTAACGTAATCGACTAGCAGTTGGCAGTTCACGTCACGCGCAAGCACAAACTTTGCCGTAAGTCAAGCTAGGCGACTTTGTACCATTTTCAAACCTCAGGACCCATGGCACAGGCTTGCTGATCTAGGTGAATTGTACTGCAAAAAATTTAGAGTCAAGTGTGCTATTCAATCTAATGGTACCAATGGATGGTAACACCCATTTCAAGACTAGATTACCTTCTCAGGTAGATTTTCGGCTACATAGGCATGTATGATGGAATTGCAAATTACCGCACATAGTAATATTTTCGGGCAGAAGTAATCCTTAGAAATTGTTTCTGTGTAAATGATTGTTCCGTTCAAATATATGCACCGCTGGCATAGCATGGCTGAATAAATGTAATAAGAATGGGAGGGGAGCGTCCTTAAGGTGTTTGGCTATAAAAAATTGAACCTTGTAGATATTCTTAACTGACCACGCACAAATTGTGGAACCGACCTGATTTGTGGAGCGAACGCGTATCAATGCTTTCTTGACGAACTCAGAACAGCGTTTGAATGCCAGTGATTATGAGAAGAGCTCTGAATTTTTATTTATACTTGGCAAATGTTGAAATGGTGCTGGGCAACTTTGCATGAAGTTAGGTCCGACTCACAAATTTCGACAGTCCTTCGCGTCTTTCGTGAGATAATGCAAAAATCACAGCCAGGAACTCGGAGTAGGTATGCGTGGTCAGGAATTTTCGGCAAATCACTGTCTAATAATTTGGGCCACTCAAGTTAGGCTTGAAACTGAAGGTACCGACGAGTGATGGTAAGCCAATGCGAAATTTAATCTATGTTTAAGCATCTGGTCAACGTAATGAGAAATAAATGGGATTTGAGCTGAAGGCAAACAAAATCCAAGGCAGTTTAGGTAGATTTCAATGGAAACTTAAAAATATCGATTAGATTTAGAAATGCTTTGTTAGATTCCACTGTCTGTTTTTAGTTAAGTGCAATGTTGTTGAGGGTGTGGACGATCTAGTAAATGATGTGGCAAATTGCCAGTACTTACCAGAGTTCGCCAACTTGAGAATTCTGCTTTGCTGAAATACCGCGTTAGACTGAGGGTTCGTGGATCCTTCATTCTAACGCACTAAACGGACACAAAAATGATCACTGTGCTAATGAGAGTTTGGTGGGAAGAGTTTCAAGGTAAGGATTCGCATGTGCATGCAAAAGGCTTGCAGCCACTCAAGACAAGTTGAAGCGCATTCCACCAAATTGCCTCCGTTCTTTTAACAAGCATTCCGCAATCTACTGGCTCACCGTCACCACAAAATAATCCACTCCAAAGAGTCGAAAAGATTGCGCAATCTTGAGGTACCTGATCTCAGCTTCTTCCCTAAAGACAAGAGGCATGTGTTCCCATCAGGATACAGAAAGTGGATGATGCGCTACAATCGTCAAACTTAACAATATCTTTTCACAAAATAGAACAAAAGATTATGCCGAAATTAATCTTAAAGCTTGCAGCTGCCACTAAGTGGTGCGCCTAAGTTGATAAAAAGTAGGTGTCTCGATGCTAGGTAAACCACAGGCTCAAGAGCTCGGTTTAGTAGTAAAGAATGATCTCTTTCTATCAGAAATAGTACTATTCTCACTACAGTCATATATATATGCGTTAATTTGAAAACGCATCATCATTAGACCGCAGGGGAACGCGTTTGTAACTCCCTATAACGTCAAAAGCATATGCCGCCATTAGTGAACAGCAACCTTAGTTCGACGCTTAAGCCAGCTTAAAAGAAGATAGCACTTCAGAAAAGTGGTTTAGATTGCTTAGGATGCAAGCGGTGTCAGTCGGGCAAACTAACTGTGTAATCGTCACCATGGCTGTGTAGCTCTGCCGATGCTGAAACCTGCCCTCATACGTGCACGCACACGAAAGGTCACCCATTGACCTGAAATTCCACCACTTACACCCCAGAGGTGACTCACGACCGCACCTTCGTTATGGAGATGGTGCCATCGCGCAAATTTAGGAAACGCTTGGGTGGATTTGCGTGGGAGTGATCGAATACAGGTGCACACTGACGCCGGTCGCTGCTGGTGCGTGTGTGCGTGACATTTTCCCCAACACGCGCACTCTTGTAGGACCGTAAAGGGAATGCGAGATTGGCGCGTTAGGTGCACTTTTGCTAAGATATTGAGAAAATACTCGACCTATGAAATGCAATCCGGAATATTTAGTGAATGACACGGCTGAGCTGAGTCGGTTTGTACTGCACCGTAATGAAGCCTGCAGCAGAGGAATTTTAATGAACAATAAAGCTACTGGTCGATGCCTTTAAAGGCAAATCAGCCCCTCCGCTGTATCAAATGATAAGCAGCGGGGTAGTGGTGCACTCTAAGCTGCTTGTAATGGACATGTTTTCAGATAACAGTGTCCGTAAGGGTCTAAATTGGAAAAATGAGCTTTGGGAAGGCTTGTAAAAACACCACACATTAACAAATGTTTCTCAAAAACTAAGATTGAGTTGTAGTGGGTTAAGCAAAAGCCATTTTAAAAGGGCTTTCAGCCAATCCTCATTCAAATTTGTGAGTTGGTCTACCAATCAAAGCGGAAACTCGAAAGATATACGCCTTAAAACACTGCACAAATATATTTAAGTGTCATAGATTGGACATGCTACAGCAATTTTACCTCTAGTTATGAAGACACGGAGATTAGGTCGATAGAGAAGGTTGGAAAACCACGTTACAGTAAGGTCAAACTTATAGAAGTCCTTAATAAACCAGGTTTATGTAAAAATAGGGAACTCGAGAAAAGCCGTTCAATGCTGAACATATCGGACTGTCGAACGGGAAAATGTGGTGCACAAAGCCTATACATCAGCATATGACGCATTAATGGGGTTGATAGGTCCCCACAACAGAATATCCATTGATTCAACGAGGGCAGGACTTGAGTTTATCACAAACCAATGCCAAGCAGTGCATTTTGTGTCCAGTTTTTAAACACGGTGCCATGTACGCGGACAATCTGCTTTTTAGAGACGGACAAATCGTGTTTACTTGGGGATTTTTTTGTTCATAATTACAGCAATTCCTTTACAAGTCTATTCACCTTATTTTTCACTCGCCAGACTTTGGAAAAGTAATGTTCTAAGATGCAATCTTAGCTTCTGTTGAGGATAAGTTGTTTACACATTTGGCGTAATATTTGAACGTGAAGAATCACAGCCCTATTAGTGTGCTACGATAAGCCTTTGACACTAAATCAGAATAAGTCGTTCATCACACGAGTTTACAGACTCCACTGGGCGAATCGAAGTGAGATAGTTATGGCCGCTCTACGTTATAGCATTTGACCCATACAGTCAATGTGTACTAAGGGCTGATGACACTATACAAATTTCCTTAAAAGCGCAATCAAGACCTCCATATCAAACAAATGCGCAAATTCGCGACTATCCAGACTAAAAAGGTCTTTTACATGACCAACTAGTGGCCCTGAAACGATGCATAGTTAGTCGAGTTACTGATTCGAGGCAGAAGAGGACGAGGCAACACAGCACGGGCTGGAAGTCTGCCAAAACGCTTCACGTAAGCCATGATGAAGGGAGAGGGGAGCTGTCATGCGCAAACGCACAAAAAGGGATGAATAATACACGGTTGAGAGTAGTGTCTGAAACCTGATCTACTTTGAAAGACGCGCACACCCACACATGCATGTGCGTATTCGCATCACCACCTAGCGTACCGTCCCTCTCCCACCTCGCTAGGTCTCATGCCATGCATTCACTGTCCAGGAGACTTGGAGACTTAACGACAAAAATGGGCTTTTAGTTACATCATAAGAAATTAAGTTTTTCGAAGATAATCATCTATTTACAACTCCTCAGGTTCTCCTGAGTGATTTCAAATGCCCAGTCATTTCATCCAGAGCATCTGCAATGCTTTTGCATGTTGCGACCGATTTGAGTGCGCAAATCATTTCCAGATGCATTACTCGACTAAATTTCAGGCAAAGCATAGATCATTTAGTTCATGAAAAAACGAACGATTCAAATAAAGTGCACAGACAAAAGTATTATTTCGAAAAGGGCTTCACTTTAGATTCAATCACTTTATGGCTCATGTCATTGAATCACAAAATTTGTTCATGAGGGATTTGACTTCACATCATTCAAAATTTTAGTACATTTAATATTGAGAAGACCAGACACCTATCTCAGGATGCAGGATCACTTTCTAAAGTGCACTTCACTTTTTGCACTTTGGATTGTAAAAGAAGAAGCACTAACACAGATTTATTATCTAAAGGACATGTAGATCCCTGTTGTTTAGATTTTCGAAACCCATTAGTAAGCTTCGTTTTTGCTAAATTTGATACAAATATTCATATCTCAAAACAAAAACAATTACATACGTTTTTTCTAAGAACTCAAGCAACTTCATGTGTGATAACTTTGGAGCGTTCGATTTCTCGTCGATTGGAAATCCCGGGTTCATCCCAACTACTAGTGTCAAAGAGGTCTCATTGTTACCTAAACGACGTCCGGATCATGGGTTATAAAGAAAATAAAAGTCTAAACTTCTACTATTATTTCACCTTCCCTAGATACAAAGAGGTGGTCTAGACATGTTCGCAGCAGAATTCTCTCATGTAACACACAAGTTTTACACGTCAAATATGTCCTTAAACGTTTTCCATTCCAAAGAAGCAAAAGAATGAATGAGTGAGAGGCAACGATTAAAAAAGCATTAAGGCGCAATTGACAATCTTCTTTAAAAATGCGAAATCCAATTTGCCTGTGCTTAAAGCACACCAGCAAATTAGCTTTTTATGGTGGGTTGGAACTCGTTAGACAAATTAGTCTTGTTTTTATTTTAGGCTATTACGACGAAGTAAGTCCACGCAATGGCCGTTTAAATAGCATCTACTGCTGTATGCTACGTAGAGACCATGCCATTCAGCAATGAAAGTTTTTATTTACGAATCAGCAGATCATTTTAAACTAGAAGGCTTGACTGGAGTTTAGATTCATTTAAGTGATAGTGTGACAGATGGCAGAGTACGTGCGAGAATTACCAGGAATAAAACAAAGCTGTTATAAAGTGGTCCCTGAGTTTGCATTATGCCCCAGATTAACCACTAAAAAATAACCAAGGATAACAATTGAAAGAAATTTGCATGTGTGTACAGGGCACACGCGGACAAAACCGTCACCACGGCCATCCACTAGTTCAAGCAAAAAACAATTTCACAAGAGAAACAGAAGGAGGGTGAAAGCAGGGACAAGGAGGAAGAAAGAAAAAGATGGTGTAAAAATAATTCCAATTGTCTTTTATGCGGACATGAATGTTCACGCACAAGCGCACGCGCCCCCACAACCCTGCGTGCACACTCCGCGCGCACAGTCTTGCGCAATCGATTTCTGTCGCGTTACTTCCTCCTACGGAAAGGCTATGGTCATCGAAATGAGTTAGCAACGTGGGTTGCCGAAAAAGCCTCTAAACTTGACACAAATACTTCTGTTTACTAAAACAGATTGAGTACAGATATAGGTTAGTGCGGTATGGCACTAAATATGTCGTAATGCAATTTATCAAAACGACTAAATTTGTAGGTCCCTAACTGTCGTGAACCGAAAGAATGGACTACAATACTAGGACCTTGGCCAATCAACTTTGAGAGTACCGTTCCACGGGGTTCGGAAAACCAGCGAGCCATTTGTAAAAGTGGCAGTTTGAAGCCGAAGTTCATACACGAATGCCCCCAGTTGGGACCGTTCGGTTACAAGCACTGATTCCTACGCCAGCTAGCAGAGATCGCAGAGAATCCAACGATAAAAAAAGGCGATTGGAAAAATGTTGAGGACCGATACCCTAGAATTGAAAATCGCTCCAATTTGACTCGCTTCTAACCAATGCTATCAGTCACAAATCCTTTATTTTTGGAGTTCACGTAAATTCTGCTCAGTAACTTAAATCGTGTCGTGAATGCATGATTGGCCCTTTCGTTTGATAGAAGGTGTGTTTACACTTTTCTGGTAACGATTAAGATGCGCTCAATTTTGTGTTTTTTCATTAATGTACTAGTGTAAAGGTAACATCTAGTCTATCTTAGCCTCATTTAATGCATTTTATGATTAAATGTGCAATTCCTCGGCACGTATTAAACGTTTTTTCAGATAATTAAGCAAAAATTCCTAATCGGGTGAAAGGCGATAAAAAAGTACATTCGTGGCAGCAAACATTATCTGTGTATTGCGGAAATGAAGGCGAATTGAGATATTAAGTTTCGCCCTTGAATTGTTTATGTTGAAGTCAAGATAGTAGGGAAATCACGGCAGCGCAACTGCAACTATCAAAGTTATGGATGCTACCAGGTGCAATAAATGTGCGCGTGGCACCCATTGCGCCAGAGGATACGCTACACAGTTTACTGCACTTCTTTTTAATGCTTGTTTTAAAAGCACCATTGCGGAAGCGTATAAGTAAATTTTAATTTCAGCTGCCTGCATTAGGTACTGTGTAGTATCGTCAACTAATATCAGTACAAAAGCTAATGGAGCATAAAGAAGGTAAAAGACTGCAACTGACAGCTTTTTCTTGCTAACTAACGGACGCGCTGCATGCCAGTCAACGACAATGAGCGTCTTCGCATATAATTTCATTGATGCGAGTTAAATCACCTTTTGCTTTTTTCGGCCGTTGTCTTGTTGAAGAAGAAAAATAACGACAGTAATCTAATGATGCCGTGGTCTCACATATGGGATCGGGTTCTTGAAGGCAAGCTAAACTGCCAGATATTAATAGGCCTATTTTTGGCGTTACCTTCATAGCTCCTAGCCTCAGTTGGTGTTTGTGACGGAAGAAAATCAAGAACATAATGGGTTTGTGATTAAATATGATAAAATACCAGAGAAATCGATATTCAAGTTCTAATTACTGAGATTGACACTGGTTAAAAGCATGTCTTGGCACTTTTTTCAGCGAACACGTTTATGTAACTGTGGCACCGCCATTACGCATGTTGTGGTAAATCTTATTGTGGACTACCTCAGGGACGTCCATAAAACACGGTTAAATTAGGATAGGACACTAAGAAACCGCAATGGTAGATAGAGGATGATGAAATTGGTAACTACGCCTATTTACGTTTTAAACAACATTTATGTAAAAGAGCCAGCAATTCCATAATTCGTCCAAATTTCGGTCAGTTGCATCCAATTTGGTTATCAAAAACACCTATCATAAGCCATCTTTGTATTTAACCAAACGTATAAACATGGGTAAATGAGAAAAAATGCTAAGGGTGCCTATAATTTTCTTTTAAGTCACAATTCAAAGTGCTAAATTAGGAAATGCAGAATGTGTGCTTTAAATCATAAGACTGGCCATACCTATTCAAACCTTTGTTATTCCTGTAACATTCCTTTAAACGTTGAGCAATTCCCGCGTTTATTTGCACGTTGATGGGCAGGTATTTTGGAAGAAGTCGCAAAAGTCTCTTTGAAAGAGCTAATTGCTCAGCCTCGTCATCCAACTCGTTTTCTGGGAAATCCTCAAATTCAATCTGGAAAAGTATATTAAAATCCAAGTAATAATACCAAAGCATACAAATGTTGATGGGTGTTCAGTCAGTTTAAGCTTTGATTTTAACTAAAAAAGGCTGAGGCTTACTTGCGCTGAGAGGACAGTAAGCTGAACTGCTGCCTCTAGCGATGGTTGTATAAATGCTGAAACATAGAAGAACAAACTAAACAGTCCTAAGAGACTAACTTTCATAATAACTTTGAAAGTTAGTGAATTAATTTCAAAACAAAACGCTACTTTTTGATCAACAACTACTCAAAGGATAAACATGGAAACATAAAACGTTAGGAATTTTGCCGAGATATGCTAATAAAACCTGGCATGAAATCTTATTGCGATTCAGATCATAGCTACAAAATGAAGCCTTTTGGTAAATAAATGTAATTATGCAAGATATTGACCCAATTTACGTAATAAAAATGGCCGGGAAATTATCTCTGAAATTCCATAAAGAGGATGTTGAATTTAGTTTGATTTAAAAAGCGATCAATAAACCACGTAGCAGAAGAATGACGCTGTTAGAACGTTAAAGCTATACTGTTAACAGTTCCTTAATTTTTTACAATTATTTTTAAGAGGTCGTGATATTGTAAATTAAATTAAAGCATTTCAAGGACAAAAGATGTATTTGAGAATATTTGTGAAGAGTGTATATTTTGGCGGTTTGCATAGTAGAATCAATATAGCAACATTATAAAAGGTTTAACAGAAACTTGGGTTTGAGTAAGAATCGCTTACCTCCATCAACTCCAAGGTGACCGGAGCGACCACGATTTTCAATTTTATCTTTAACTTCCAGGTAGAATAAATGCTTCGTAACTGGTTGAATTAGCTCATGTTCCACATCCTCTGGAAAATATTTAGCATGAAAAAAATAGCAAAACTGAAATGGAAGTGGAACTGAGTGCTGCGAAAGAATCTGCAGAAAATAAAGTGAATTGAAACAGTTACCTTTTCAGGTTTTAACCAGTTTAAATATTTAATACTTCCATCGCTCACAAGAACGTACGACTGTAAACCAAAATACCATGTTTCTCGTAAGCCAAATGTCCCACAAACAAGATCAAACAAATCTTTCCCAGTGCTTTTCACCTTAAAAAGAGCATTGAATGAATCAAGCAAACCTACAGGAATGCTAAATTCTAAATCCGACTCTAGAGTGGAAACTTTTACAGCAATTGTTTTTGAAGACTGACGTCTAAGCCACCTCATTAAGTTAGATGTTATGCAAATACATAGAAAATATAAACGAAAGTGAGGATTTTGAATGAGGCGAGTTGCAACTTTGCACAGCTCAAGGTCGCAAATGAAGAAGTGGATTTTTAGGTTAAACAAAAGACTGTTATTTAGCATGTAACTTGCAATAATTTATAGCCCAGCATTTGACACACCTCTATTAAACAACGAAACTATTTACAGTGTGGCAATTTCTTATTTAGAATTTTTTTCTGCAAAAAATCCTACGATTTAAGGGAGTGTTTTGACTTTGCCCAGTTTCCAAAAAATAACTTAATGCCTCATTTTGTTGTGTATTTTTTGTCATTGATATTATAGTTCAAATTTTAGGCTAAAGTATGTTCTTATACAAATTAAGTCCTGTACCGAAAATACTGGCTATAAAATACAGCTCTCTAGCATCATTATATGGGCAGAAATATTGCATTTCTGACAATATATTAATGATCTTTTCGCAGGTCTTGAACTTCAGAATGTGATTATTATGACCAAAACGCTAGTCTCCAAACTGACATATGAAATCCTACGTTGTATATTCTATGCAGGAAAATTAGCTTGTTCGTCATTCTGGGAGAGACCTGAGGTTAAGTCTACACGCATTGACATGAACATGGATTGCAATTAAACTGTTATAAAGCAATGCAAACATGGCCATAAGAAAAATAATTGTAGTTTGAGTAGCACAAGTTATTGGCAAAATAGTGTCACTGCCAAAGCTTGAGTATATGACCTGCCATAAAGCGGGTAATAAAATTTTCGTAATGAGACTAATGAGCAAGGCGTAAGGTAAGAAGGTCTAATAGGTTAACAAATTGTCATTATGAAATCAACAAAGTTTAAGTTAAATATACGATAAGAAATATAATCATCATAGTTGTCGACAATAGCCTTTACACTTAAATGTTGTAAGATTCTTTAATAATACTATGAGAATATTGTATTAATGGGCTACAGTTTACAGGAAGTATCTCTGGTTTCCCATCCAATTAGATAAAGTTGAATCAGCAAAGGTAGTTTTATTTATGAAATAAAACTAATGTTATGAAAAACATTTTCGATGTTTTTGTCATTGCACACAAATCATTGATTCAAAGTCTATTGCCTTTATTTAAGTGCTTCATTATTCCCTACATGTGTTTGTCATTCAAATTAGTTATAGTCAAGACCTTCTGAAGTAAAAGCAAGTGGGTTAATTTGCACTAGAGCTTTTTAATTGGCTTTGGAAACAGAAGAACTTTCCACGAGACATTTTTTCTCCTTACACCGGGAGAAATCGGGCCATAGATTGTCAAGGCACTAGTCAGCCTATTTTTTCTTATTGATTATGGCATCGGTAAATGTCGAATGCAGCAACATAGCAACGTAATCGGAATATTCAAAGCACTACACTGTCGTTTGAATGTCTAAGCAGCAATTCTGAGATATTCCAAGCCTTTGGCCGACGGGTAATCGTTATAGACGCCCTAGTGCGGTTTTCAGAGTATCATTGACTTTGTGCGTGCATATAACTAAAAACAGGAAAGATAATAATTGATAATTTTCATACCTGAAAGCGATAAATTTCTTTAATTTTTAAAGTACAAATTTTCTCTCACCTAAATTAAATGCACAACAAAATTGGTGTAACAGTTTTTTGATCAAACCATTATTATCTGGTCAAAAAACCAATGTAATGCTTGAGCTGCTTTGAAGCACAGGGACACTTTTTTAAACTTTTAAGATTTAATAAATGAACGGCGGGAAATTAAAATTCCTTTAATGGAGTACATTTCTGATTTTTGGTGTGTTAGAGTTTTTATGTTGTCTTCCGTTTTTATAATCCTGTTTCTAATTTTATCTCGTACGTTTCTACATGAAACAAACTTGCACTTCTTTTTAAAAAATTGGGATTGGTGTACTTTTTGCATTTTTTCAGGGGGATCTTATTCTAATAACTTAATAATTCCTGTTCTGTGTGATTTTTTTGAGGAGATTGCTAAATGAGCTCCAGAGGGATTCGCCTTAATTAATTCATGTTATTATCTAAGTTGTCAAAGAGTAGCTTTGATACTTATTTCATTCGAAAGACGTGGGCAATTATTAATTGTTTAGCACTAGTTACCTGTGAATTTTTACTATTGGATCTACAATTTCTTTCTCAGTTCGTGCCTTTTTGTGGACTAAACTTGGACCACTTCTACATGTTCTTTTTGTCAATCACCCTCTACTTTTTCCTGAATCATATTGTAAATTTTTGCTTAGTTTATTAAATTCCTGGATGCCTTTGTCACTGGGGTCTGGCTACTTCCTTATTGCTTTCCATTGTAACAGATGTAATTTACTTTCATTATCTGGTAATCTGTAATTAAAACCTCCTCTGGGAGTTTCCACGTGCCTGCGTAATGCGATTAACGCTGCCAACGTTTGATGCACCAGCCTTATCTGCTGGACTACAAATTGCCTCATTTTGTATCAAACGCTCCTTTTTAACTTGATGGAATCACAATTTTTTAACGAAATCTATCGATTGGTACTGGGTTCTCCTAAACCGGTGTCACATTTACTTTTTATCAAATCGATGCGCTTTGATCATTTATTGGATCTTTACACGTTTTAGTGTCAGAAGATGTATCTAAACTTATTCCTTTACTGTATTTATTCGTATGGCATTCCAATCGAACGTCGCGTTTTGCCAGTGGTTGTCGCAGATTTAATATTTGCTCGTTCTATATGCTTAACTGTGTTTCTTTTGAGTTTCTTATTCCAAGTATCCAATTGGCTTTAAAAAAGGACTTTTTAAATATGGCGAATTAAACAGACAAGCGATATCGATAACTGGAGTTTTGATTCATTTAAACATGATTTAATACAGTAGGATTAAATGCATGCCTTTTGTCTGTAGACTGCATGACTGAACGGTTTTGATGTTCCCGGTGTCACCGTAGTCGCGTGTTCAGCTTTCTGCCGTTATCTCTCATCATTGGCAACAACCAAACGTAAGCTTTCGCTGACCCGTTTTCTGCTTTTGTGTTCGTCTTGTAACTTGTCACCACTTATTATGCGCTTGCGCTTATAATCAGTAAAGAATTTGCAAAAATTTCCCATTTAGTGATTGTGTGCTACATTCACTTTGGAGTTAGTAGCTTTGGTAAGCGGCCTTGTGATCACTCTCAGAATACTTTATGCTATTGCGTGTTATTTGCCCACAGAAAGTGTCTTGGCACCAAATTATCGTTGACCAAGTAAGGTGAATTTAATTTTGAACTTGATTTTTGGGGTCGGTTAAAGTGCGATTGCCTATTTAAGTTTAAGTGTCCAACTTATTGGGCATGCTCTGCGATTTAGTGAATAGCAATTCACAATTACGACTCAATAGGTTGACAATTCGACTGCATTTCACCATCTAGAGCAACTTGTGTACATTTTTCATGTGGTGAGTTCCACTCGTTTTGGCAAAACGGAATAAACTGAGCCCTCTTTCCAACAAACCTGGCTCTGTTTTTTAAGCAATTCCTAGTTAGTGGCGAAAATAGGTTTGTTCACTACAGTGTAATAGAGAGATGTTGAGAGCAGGAAAGCGAAAGAACAGAATATGTGGCAGGGCTTAAATACTCTATTCAGTGAGTGTTGTAATGTATACGATGGAATTGCGAAGTATTTTTTCACGAGCCTTCTCCATGCGGCCAAGCGATAAGTCAGAAGTGGTGTTGGGAAACAGTTATTGAAAATGATGGAGATCACATTAATAATTAATGGGTGCCTTTTGTCTTGGGAATGTATTGTATATGGTTTTGTTTCCAATGGGGATTGAAATTTTTACGATCACTCAGAGACTAGGTAGTCAAAATTGGCGAAGTCCATAAATGATAGTGTTTTGAACCAATGATGATTTCGGCGCTCCTAGGTCTAGGATCCCTCTAAATTACTAAGGTGATTCCCTTTTTGTTGGAACGGCTACGTTTCGGTGTTCGGTGTTCTTCATGTCCAAAAAGCTTTTCTTTGTAGTGTACTTTCGGCTTTATTAGTAGCGTATGATTTTCAATTGATGTGGTGGCCGTTTACCTATATTTTGGGTTTCTCCGCTCTATTCACGTTTCTACTTACCTGAATAAATCAACCGTACATTAGCGCTGTCTAGCTTCCTTTGTTTAATAAAGACACCTTAGTGTGCCAAAATTTCAACTCACGTAGCACGTAAATCAACGTCGTTGTATTGGCAAATTCTCATCTTGCTACTTCGTCATTGCCTTCATGTTTTCAATACCGCCATGTAATTAAAAAACAAAGTACCCACATAGCCGTGGTATAGATGGTTTCTGTTGATTAATTTCTGGTTTACCTATTGTGTTAGTGTGTTTATACAGAGCGTACCATCCGTCCGTGTTATTGGTTGGAGTCGCATTGCCCGTAGTGCTTTTTTCCATCACTGTTCCTACTAATACTTCAACAGACATTCTTAAGCAGCGAACGGGCGCTTGTGTCGGTTGCACTTGGATAGAATAACTTTTCCTGTTCAATTGCTGATAAAAAGAATATGTGCGTTAGAGCTGATGTTTCATCGTAACCAGAGTAGATACCAAATATCTGGGTTTTTTAGCAAGGAATATGGTATTCAAGTTCAAAATATTTTTTACATACCCAAATGACCCACAAGCTTATGTCGCTAATTTTCGTTTTTATCTAATTAACACTCAAAGCACATTTCGATTCAAGCAATTGATTCATTCAAAATTAGGGGAATACTTTTGAAATCAGATTTAGTATGCGTTTATTCTATTAGTCCTCCATCAACTTACTTAAAAAAAGGCGATACATTATCTACTTTGGCCATTTGTTTTTCATGTTTTAATGCAACTTGTGCTATGGGACTGACTTCATATTCTCTAGTCGCACCTTCTTCATTTTCTTTAGACTCTAGACCTGATATTTACCGATTAATTGTGGCATCCTAGTAGCTTAAAATGCCAACGGGAATTTGGGCATCCGGAAATAGTTCGTCGCCTGCCGGTACTCCAGTAACCCCTTCGGCCACTGAAGCGCGCAATTCGACCCTCCCTCCTCGTAGTGAAACCAGCAACCCCTCAAAAGTCATTTCTGCTCCCAGTGGGATCGATGACGAGTTCTCAATTATTGATGCGCTAATATCTGGCACCAATGAAAACCCTCTCATCGATTTGAAATCTGATGGGATAGTGACTGGTAAGCTTGTTATGGTTTCTTGGGAAATACGTCTTAACGGTTACCTATGTACTCATTGCGAGGAGCTCCGTTAGTGGAGTGATGTAGGTTATTGCTTTATTTGCTAGAAGACGGTAAATTTAAAATCATTAGGTCTTAAAACGTGTGATTTATTGATAAGGTTGGCTTTGTGTAAATATCTCGACCTCACAAACCCGCTAATCTGACCACCACTTACGTAGTTATCCAGTCATTTAACAAAATAGCTGATTCGGAATTTGGCAATGTCGTGTCCCCAAAACCGATACCATTGCTATCAGAAAATTGAGTGAAGCTTATGAGTTAAGGTGCTTGTGGACCGTGTGCTGTTTGATAGGTCAACCATTGGTCAGGCCAAATTCTTTAAAGGCCCTTTTTAGTTGTATGTTACACTGTGGTGGTGTTTTGCCCATATTTACGAGGTCTCTGTGAGTTTATTGTTTTCGCCTGCATTGACGCCAAGCAGTGTGCTGACATAAATTCATTCCTCAGCAATAGCTCTTGGCTGTTGCAAACCTCAGGAAATTGATGTCGAATCTTCATTGCTTCAGATATGGATTCCGAACTGAACGTGACAGCTTTTGACGCGCTGTGTAGAACTGCTAATTCCACCTCAGATATGCCTGTTGGTACCTCTGCGTCCATAATTCCCGGCTCTCACGCACAATCAACCGCACCCGAAGCCTCTTATGCCTACTACTACCCAGCTGTCCAATTCCCGTCAATGACACCGCAGTCTCCTGCGAAGCTTGTGACTCCCCAACCCCTGCAGCCGTCGCCTGCTGGCACCTTCACTTTGCCGAACCCAAAAGCACAAATCCCTTCCTTGTATCCGACAGGTCAGCAAGTTGTACCAACTGCCTACACCACTCCCGCCGCTTCCTCCCACACGGTAATTCTGGTGTAGTTCTTCTTCCCGTTTAACTAAAAGTTATCGTTTCTCTGTGTGCTCGTTTTAGTTCTTCACAATGTGCCCTCTCTCTTTGGATATTCACAAACATGTATGCGAAACTCCAATGTCTAAAATGATCCTCTAGAGGGAAACCACCTCCTTCACAATGACTTACTGCGTTCGTAGTAGGCACTATTGTGATCGAAAAGCCTTGTGTCATTTCAGTCTATACTTCTACGTTTGGGACATTATGCAAAATTCACTAATTGGGAACTTTGCGTAATTCCAAATGTTCTGACCTACGAGTATCCCGTCTTTGGCAACTTTAGGATTGGGACAACCGAACTCCTCAGCCACTGTCGATAACTTACCAGCCATCTGTCCCGATATTAGCTTCAAAGTCAACGTATTTCACTACCCAATATCCACCCATTCCAAATCCCTACCAACCGTCTCAGTCAGTAGTTCGGAATTATGGGAGCGGTGGATGTGCCATTTGTGGAGCTTCAGCTAGTGGTACCCATTACGGTAAGTTGGCCAGATGAATCATCGCCGATGTGCTTAAACAATCGTTTATTGAGCCGTCAGACGTCGAATGTGAAATGTGGTAGCGTTCAGCACTTAATTGCTCGGTCAATTACTTTGCGTCAGGTGTCTGCCTTATTAAAATTTCTTGGATCTTTCCCCACAAATCCTGGCAGTCATGGCCCACTTCCAAGCCAGCTTGGTCTTCTTTGTAGAAAGTCGTTGACTTCAAACTTCAGAGGTCGGTTTCAGCCGCAATCACTTTGAGAGGAAACGACAGCATCTTAAATTTGACCCAGTATCTGGAACTTGTAAACATTTCCCTATGTACAAACTCAAAAAACACTAGACAGGAAGAAACCACAATCGAAGAAAGTAAAACTTCTATCTCAATTAGGTATCGCTTTGTGCTCGTTCTTCTGTGATCCATTGAATAAGTTTTGCTATATTATTGTTGGCATGACTTTTTATTATTTGACTGGCAACTTTATTCTCGTTAGGTGTCTTATCTTGTGATGGATGCCGAACTTTCTTCGGGAAATCGGTTCGTAAAGGCGTACAGTACGTGTGTCCTGGTAATGCCAATTGTCCTATCGACAGAAACCAACCACTCAAATGTCAGTATTGTCGGTTTAAAAGGTGTCTTGAAGCGGGAATGCGCAAAGAAGGTTTGTGTTTCTTGGTGTCTTGTGTCTTTTAATACTTTTCGCCTACATTGTAAGGTCCCTTTGTGGGAAAGGCTGTATTTTGTATTCACTTATTACGGCCGAGTTTATATGGCTCATTGAATTGTGGGTTGTGATTTTGCGCTAGCAATGATGACGATTGCAATACAAGTCGAAATTCACGTAGTATTGAGTGAAAATGTGTTGGACTGGCGCATGAAGAGGTACTCGCATCTTCAACCTCTGGGTTTTTAAGACAGCCTAAGCTTGAATTGGGATAATCAACGATGGGTATATTGTGCGGTACGCTTTGACGCTGTTTTGCGTGTGGATAAAGTACAGAACATGAAACTCACAATGGCCGATCTGAACACAACAAAAAGCTAATACTAATATGCAGCAGTCAAAAAACTGTTAGTAACTTGCAAGTGCTGGTCAATCAGAAAGTGGTGCAGCATATTGTTTACAAATGAATTTGAATTTTGGTGCCTGGCTTTTAAACTTTGGAAATATAATATTGTTTGGATTGCGACTGTCCCGTGGGATGTGGAAAAAATTAAAAAAAGTTTGCGCGTTTGTGGATGTCCACATATAATGTAAAGGTGTCGTGCCTCAGCCCTCACGTAAACGCAGGCTTTGGGGTTTAGGTGGAATCGACTTCTTGCAATCGGTCTCAACCTTGCCCGGTGCCTTTTTTCTGTTTTGCTAGCCGTGCAGTGTGACCGGGGCGGCGTTTCGTGGCGCTCTCACAGTAGCGCTTTCAGCGACTGTGAACAGCTGAACGCCTCGTCAGCTTCTACCTCGTCGGTTTGTTCTTTTGAGGGATCAGCGAGTGTGGCGAAACCACAGTGGGTCAATCCCAGTCTGGTCAGTGCCGTCGAGCAAATTTACTTAGCAGAGACACTTGTCTTAGAAGTTCCACCCGCCGACACACCAGAGGAAAGCCCTATTTTCACGGTTAGTTGAGTTCACTTCTGCCTGCTAGAGGCTTGCATGTGTCGGCCAACCTATCACTTATTTTGGTTGCAGTACCAGGATTAGTTTTCATCTTGTTACGTAAAGGCGTGTTAGTGAGTAATTTAATCTAAGCGACCGCTTACACAGGAATTATGCTTTTTCTCTCCCGTCCAAGTAAAATATTCCCTCTGCTGGTCGCTGTCCCTTAGCTGACCTTTGACCGCTACCCACACACTATCAGAGAGCACACAGAGTAGCCTCAGAGTAGAGTAAGCCCTGTTTTTACAATGCAGAAGCAAGGATAGGACCTCATGGGGGCTTTTTACCGTCTCAGATGAAAAACCCAGTAACACGACTGCTGTGGCCGCTTGTACGCTCCCTAGCGACCTTGGCGAAAATCAAGGTAAATAGCATTCTTAGGATCCCAGGGCGTCAATAGAATGGGTGTGCGGTTAATATGAAATAGCTGAAAATATGTGTATGGCTGATACAAAATGGGAAATATGTAAATTGCGGAATGCGTGAAGTGGGTTGAAGACTTAGAACGAACTTTCTAGTCTGTGCCTGCGGTGTCTTGCGAACCACTCTTGACTACTATTTTTGCCCTGTGCAACATGTGTGTGTGTTTCACTGGAATTGAAATGTACATTGCTCCTAGTCAAAAATCCTAAATGCGTTCTTTTTGAAGCAATGACACTTGACACGTGTTGTTGAATTTCTTTGTAGGAAGTCAGTTGTGAGGATTATTCAACGTCCCGCTCTAACGACGCCAACGAAACAGTGGTTAATCTGATTCTTTGGTGCCGAAAAATTCCATATTTCTCCAATTTTCCTGACGCCGATCAATTCACTTTGCTGAAATCCTGTAAGTCAGAGCTACTGTTTGATGTGTGACGGGCGTAGCTCACACTCAAATTCCAGCAAAAGTCAACTAGAGAAAGAGGAAAATTTTCTCTAGAATGTTCAAGCCAGAACAGAATTGTTTAGAATATCAATTTTTCAGATGCTTGTAATTAGAATGTTCTGCCAGTCTTATTTCAGATAGGTTATTTTCTAACAAAAGTGACTTGCCTTTAATTTATGCTGTTCACTCGCCGTGTTCTTCTTGGCGCAACAAAAAGTAGTCCACTCTTTGTCTCTATTAGATTAGGCATGATTTGGCTTTGTGAAAGGCTTCTTTCGAATTCCCATAACGTTTTACTGCAGTAGGATCCTGGCCGTTAGATGGCACCAGCAATGCTTACTGCTTGCTCATTGCGATTTGTCAATTAGTACACTGTCTTGAAGTGGCAATGCACTCGGGCGGCAAGTTGGATCGTTTCCCGATGAAGACGTGATTTTGCCATGTTCGCGAGCCCGGTGCTGTTTGAGCTAGCGCTGCGCAGCCTCAAACTGATATCTCGCCTTATTTAGTGACCTTCTACATCACGTAACTTCGCATCGGCTTATTTGCATTTGTTGTGTATTTTCATCGAAAATTGTCCTATGCCTAGGGTTGGTTTTGATGTTTTTGTATATGACTTCATTGACATTAAAAATACTTGTTGTGAAGCCCATTGACTCACACTTGTTAATCCGATTCGCAGCATGTCACCATCCACGCCGATCATCAAATCCCCGCCATGATCACGGACATTTATCCTTGGATTATCCTCACACCTTGGTCTCGATGTTAGCGCATGTATGACTCACACATCTTAGGTATAAACACACTCGCGCAAACACCACACACGACACAACGACACCAACTTGGTTGAATGCTGAAGTAAACGCTTGTGCCCACGTCCTCTCCGGTCTTCTTCATCATCGCGGGTAGCAGGAAAGCGTAATTGGGCCCCGGCGTGGTTCAAGACTACATGCTGGGGCCCACAACATACTTTTCCAGATTAAGTCTCATCAATTGACGGGCACTTTTTCAAAGGCTAACCTTTTTACTATTTGTTTTCTCGAGAAAATCGGCACTCGTGGCCGACTCCCACCTAAACCACACTGCATTTCATGCGTCCTGTGGGAATGCAAGTGTGAACTGTGGCAAGGCATCGCTCTAGACAACCTTAACGAGTTGGCTGCCTTGCAGAGAAGCCTGTCACTTTCTTCTCTGGAGTCGCTTCCTTAGAGACGCTGTGCCGTTGTTAATTCTGTGATATGCTCATCAATCTTCCTGGTGCTTCCGTTTCCCTTCTGTTTAATCGGATTATGTAAATTTTAGTAAACTCATCTACCAGATTACATTGAGGTTATTCTCATGACTTGAACTCGTTTCTATCAATCTATTCGAACGTAATAAGTAATGCCTCATAATTTTCCATGCAACATCGAATAATCTAGGCTTTGTTATTTCAATGCCAAGTAGAAAAAAATAAAAGAGGCTTATTTTGGTGAATTTCATTAATAAATATCTAGCTGGTAGAATAATTTCTATTAATTTGGTTTGCTTTTTGCTCACGACCGAGCATAAGTTCATTCTAATCAATGTATTCCCGCCTCTTCCGTTCTCTATACATTAAATGGCGTCAATTTATATTCATCAGTTGCAGAGCATGCTGCGGTTGAGTATTTCTTTCTTCCGTGAAAACATCCTGTTGATTCGCTTTCGTGAAACTCTAAGGAGCCATATGGCCACACTATATCCATTTCGAGCTACTGAAGAGGTCTCATATTAAGCCCAATAACGTAGGCGCACTTTTTGGATGTTTGTTTCTCCTGTGTAGGTTGCATCGAGTTGCTCCTTGTTCATTTTGCATTCCGCCTTGCGCACTCCCTCTCCTCGGAGTCGCCCTTCACGGCGCCTGCGTCCTCCGTCGCCCCACCGACAGTCTCCGCGTCACTCCCAGCCAAAATGACGGAGAGCGCCCCCCCGGTGACCCCCAAAGACCCCTCTTTCTCCTTAAAGACCCCATTTCGCGTCACCAACATCTTTTTTCCCTTCGAGACAGATTCTGCTGGTCTAGTCTTTAATCTGCAAGCTGAGCGAGATATACGTGGTCTCATGCGTTGGCCTGAAAACCGCCTACTCGTGAATCTCTTTCCCAGAGACAAGGGCGACGTGGGAGTTGGAATTTACTCCAATGAACTAAACGCCCAATGCCTTTCCAGGCGTTTGATTCTGCGTCGTCTGTTTGATTTGGCCCGCCAGTTGAAGGAACTTCGTGTCAGTGTCGTAGAGGTGGGCTGTCTGAGGCTACTGATTCTACTAAATCCTGGTAAGTTATGGAGCAATTTGATACCCTCGAAAGGCAAAGTCTCAATCATTCCTGCTAAATGCTCTAATCTCTTTCTGACTTGGGACTAACGCTCCTCCATCTGTGCACATAATTGCTCCCCCCTCCCCTTGGATTCATTGGCCTTTCGGTGCCCGAGGTAACATGGGCTTCCCTTGTGATGTGCAACTCACTCAGCTGTTTACCAAATGCTCTAGTGTAATTTACGCAGGGCTTCAGTGTTTGGAGTTTTTTTCAAGGCAACGTACTGTTTGATTAATCGAAGCCTGCACAAACCGGGTCATAAATCATGTATACGTGGAGAACTTAATTTTTTAGCACTAAGTACGACTTCAAAAGTTCGTGCCTATTTTTACTTGGGTCGTAGACGCTTGCACTTTTGCCTGTTCTGGTACTTCTTTTATTATCGTACAATTGACTGACAGTTATCTAAAGTTATTTTAAGTAAAAAAAACTTGAAAAATTTATTTTAGGGATAATCAAAATGGAAAGTAAAGTTTATATTTACCCTCATTTTTCTTGTGTTAAAGCCTTAGCAAATATACCGCAGACGTTTATTTTGATAGTACTCCTGCTCTTAAGAAGGTTACAATGCGATGTAGTGGAATTTAAAGTCGTGATTGCAACCCAATCGATAAGCCTCTTTCTGGGCGACCTTCCAACATTGATAATAACTTGATCTGAAACTTAATGAATAGTAATCCATGGATTACTACTAAATGGACTGGAGAGAGGTTAAATGTTGACAATCCGATTGCATTTCACCATCTAGAGCAACTTCCGTACACTTCTTAAGTCGGCATGTGGGTTCCGCACATTTTGGCAGAACGGAACAAACTGAACCATTTCTCTTCTCTCCTGTCAACAATCCATATCCTTCGTGGACCTATTTTGGTGTGCCAATGTAAACAGCGACCCTCAAACATTGTTCAGGGCGTAGGGAAG